TTTTTTTTTTTTTTTTTTTTTTTTTTTTTTTTTTTTTTTTTTTTTTTTTTTGGTTTTTCGAGACAGGGTTTCTAATCCTGTTACTAATCCAGTAACCTGGCTCCTGTGGAAAAATTGCCAACATGTGGGCTAGCAGGTATGTGTCATGCTGACTTAGATTCTTCCTAGTGGCCTTCAAGCTGACCTCTCAGAGTCTAGCAAAGTCACTTCTATCTGCTTCCCTGTGTGTCTGTGCTCCGCGAGGCCTCTGTCCACTCCTCCCACCCCTAGCCCTCTGAGACAGTGTCTCTGTGAACCCTGTGGAAGTCTCTGGAGTTCACAGAGATCCACCTGCCTATGTCTCCAGAGTGCTGGGACTAACAGCCTCTGCCCTCAGCCTCTGCCTTCCTCTTAATGTGCTCCCTCCTTCCTGGGCGCTGCAAGTTCCCAGTGGTCTTTCAGTGTGCAACTCAAAGTGGCTTGCTTGGTAGACTTGTAGCCGGGTCACCACTGCACCCTCTGAGCCTTCCCACTTCCTGTAGATTTTGTCCTAAGCCACACCACACCTCAGGACAGACACTCATACCCCACTCCAGCCATGCCCCAGGAGCTTCAGAAGGATGTTTGGAACACCAGTGAATTGTGTGCCACACACACAGACACTCACAGTAAGGACCCTTCTCCGGAAGGTGTCTGAAATAGGAACATCCATCTGGGGATCACTCCAGGACACTCACACCACTTCTTTCTCCAGGCGGGACTCTTTCTTCTTTCCTCTCTTCCTGTCTCCCTTTCCTTCTCAACACGCGCGCGCGCACACACACACAGACACACACACACACACGTTCTCTTCTTTCCTCTCTTCCTGTCTCCCTTTCCTTCTCAACACGCGCGCGCGCGCGCACACACACACACAGACACACACAGACACACACACACACGTTCTCTCCTTTCCTCTCTTCCTGTCTCCCTCTCTTTCTGAACACACACACACGCACACGCACGCACCACTCCCCAACAGCTGCAGTCTGGAAGAAATTAGTCTTCTAAACAGCCAGACTTCCCTACTTTCAGGAAATTCCAAGCTGGAAAGGGGGAGGGGCCGGGCTGGGGGCGCGACCGTCCATCCCCCTAGCTCTGCCCCTGCATTCAGCACGTCCAGTCCTGGTATCCTCCTGCACCCACTATCCGCTCAAAGGGCTCTCAGCGTTTCCACCATCTAGGCTTTCTAGTCCTTTAAATCTTAGAGGCAAACTTTGGGGGAATAAGGAAGGCTGGGAGGGGCCTATGGCTTAACCCTCTCAACCCGGGACAAGAAGTTAAGACCAACTAGGCTGACTGGGGCGTTGACTCTGCGCTCGCCTGGTAGGCTACCATGGCCCCCGAGAGGGGCTGAAGCTTAGTTCCTGGTGCAGGTAAGAAGGGACCACAATCAGCGTTTGCCAGACTCTGGAATCTAGTCTCCTGTGTCTGAGGGAGGAGGACCGCGGTCTGGCCCCTCGTAAATGATAAAGAGTGCAGAAGCCTGGACCCCTGGAATGTGAGAGCGGAGACCAGGGAAACTCCCTGCCTGTGAAACAAGAGAGCTGGGGGGGGGGGGGGCTCCTGGGACCCAAGAGCGCAGAACCCGACCTGAGGTGATGGTACTCAGACCACATGCCTAGGTCCTGGAACCCCTTCCAGGTTGGGCATGACATTTGCTTTTTTGCCAGGTGAGATCCCGCCCGGGAAAAGAAGGAAAAGGGCGCCAGTGAGGTAGCCTCCGAGGCCAGGAGGGACCAGAGCTTGAGCCGGAGACCCATTCAGTCAAGACCACGAGGTGAGGAGGCTGTTGTGGTGGGCAGGGGTCTTCATCCGGAGGAAATAAAAAGAGACAGACTAGTTAACGAAGAGACCAGGGCCTTTAAAGTCCCTGTTGCAGCCCTGTAGCTTTAGGAAAAGAGTTGCCAGTCCTAAGATCTCAGGGGTCTCCCGGTGGGGTCCCCTGCCAGGTCTGGGCTCCACCCTCCTCCAGCCTGAGAACCAGTTGGGCCAGCTCCTGAGCGGGTTGTTATTTCCGTGTCCTGGCAGGGCTGGGGCTGAGAGAGGACAGAGGTGAACCAGCTGTGCCCCTGACCCATGCAGCTGGAACTACACAGTGCCTAGCCAGGAAAGGGAGTTGAAGAGGCCAGAGGAGATCTGCTTATCTGAGCGTGTTTCTGTCCAAGCGGGCGAGGGCCCCTATGTGCTTGCATCCAGCCCACTTTGCTTTGATCCCTAACAACGGTCCCTCTGTAAGATCCTAGGCTGATGACGAACTTTTTCCAAGAATGACCGCATTGCCTTGAGTGTGACAACCCAGCAACAAGCATATTGAAGGTTAGAGCTGAGTGTGCAGGACACCTAGCCTGAGGGGAAAGTGACTCCCTCAAGGTCTCCAAGCCAGCCAGGAGCTTCGTGGGCATTAGGGCATTAAAATCTCCCTGTGCTTGTGTGAGAGGCATGCATGGGCTGTGTGCATACGTGTGTCCTAGGGCCTAAGTCAGAGAAGAAGCCCAGTGTCCTGCTAGATTATTCTCCACCTTATTCTTGAAATGGAGGAGGATCTCTTATTCAAACCAGAGTTGAATAAGCCCCAGCTATTGTCCTATAAGGTACTAGGGGCATGGCTCAAAGGTAGAGTGCTTGCCTAACGCCCAAGATGTTAGCTAACTCGGGGTTCTATCTTCGGGAGTCCAAAAAATTCGGGAGTAGAATTCTATGGAGCATTTTCTCAGCGAGCATCTACTGTTTGGTTGCTAAGGCAGAGCATTCTATTGGCATCCCACTTTGCAGATAGAGAAGACAAGGTCAGAAGGGTTATACTGCTAATCCAAAGCCACACAGCAACAGCCCCAGCCAGATTCAAACCTGGGCAGCTGGTTTTCTGAATTCTACCTCTTTTCACTTCTCTCTGCAGAGGAAGTACTACGATGAATGGAATGACATCATTTACACCCAGAGAGGATTTTTATGCTTAACTGTGACTCAATATTCACAGTTAAAAAATAAGGAAATGAAAATAGGGAAAGTCCGAGGGCCTGCTAAATTGTTAAGGGCAAGTCTTAGCCTATTAAAACATTCGTTTTCATTGCAGTGAAGGAGGGAGTGGTGATTGTGTGTCAAGTTACAGTAAAACTGTGTTTATTCGCCTAGGTTAAGGGCAGAGTGGAACTGCTGTAACAACAGTGGTTTCAGAGATGGGCAAGATGGCACAGGTTCGTATGCTCAGCACCTTGTGAAGGCTGAGGCAGGAGCATTGTCCTGTACTGGAGGCCATCCAGATCTGTCTTGTAGGATGCTCTCTACAAAACAAAACAAACGACAAATGAATCTTCTCAAAACCAACAACAAACACCAATACTGGTGGTAATCACAATACTGGCCTGTAATCACAGCTACTCTGTTAGTTCACGAAGTTCAAGGCCTGGGCTACAAAGAATGGTGTGGACAACTTAGTAAGGCCTTGTTCCATAATGAACAACAAAAAGAGGTTTAGGAGAAGGGCATGGCAGTGTTGGAGCATGATTCAGATGTTAGGAGCACTGACTGGCTCTTCTAAAGGACATGGGTTTGATTCCCACACCCACATGGCAAATCTCGACCATATGTAATTCCAGTTCCAAGGGATTTGGCACCCTCTTCTAGCCTCTGTGGGCACCAGGCATGCATGCGGTACACAGATCTATATGCAGGCAAAACACCAATGTACGTAAAATTAATTTTGTTTTTGTGTTTCTTTGTTTTTGGTTTTCCAGACAGGGTTTCTCTGTGAAACAGTCCTGGCTGTCCTGGAACTCAATCTGTAGACCTGGCCTCGAACTCACAGAGATCCACCTGCCTCTGCCTCCCAAGTACTTGAATTAAAGGCATGCACCATCACTGTCCAGCTAATAAATTAAAAAGAGAAAGTTGGGGATATAACTCAGTGGTAGAATACTTTCCTAGCATGTATGAAAGTCTAGGTTCAGTCCTAGCAGAGGGTAAACATGGGAAGTGCACAAGTGTGCATGTGTTTCTAGGCTCACTCCCTGTGGGAGGGGCTTTGTGTGCATGCGTACATGGATCCAATAGTCCTTAGACTGCATCCATTTAAATTATTTCGAACAGTTTTGGCTGTACTTTGTGTTCACATCCTCGTTGATCCTTCCCAGGGTTCTGAATGCTGAAAGAACAATGTTGGCTCCCTTGCCTTCCTCGTGTATTTTACCAAATCTAATCTTTATTCCGCAGTTATTGTTTGGGTGACACAGCCTTTTCTTCTCCCAACACTAGCACGACCGCTTGGCAGCACTTAATATTAAATCATACTTCATGTTTCTATGTGCTCTGCAGGGAGTTGGCAGTGTCATTTTATCTGAGGTATAGACAGGAAAACGAAGGATTAATTTGTGGAGATTCACTGAACTGGAAAAGGGTGGGGTTTTGATGGAAATAGAAACAAGGGATTTCATCATAATAGTAAGTGTTAAAAGTACAAAGTTGTCAAGTTCCTGTCACAGTTTCCATGGAAAAAGACTAAGCTCCAGGATATGGGCCAAGGTTTGCTGGGTTTCTCTTTACCACTCAGTCAGGTGCAGTAACCTAGCAACTGCGTATCTGGTATACAATTCACAAGCTGGCAGCTGCAAGCATATGTCATTCTTGCCGATATTTGCTTATTCGATTTATTCATTTATGTTACCTATGAGTGTTTGCCTGTATATATGTGTGTACACTACCTGCATGCTTGGTACCCATGGAGGTCAGAAGAGGGTATCTTCTGGAACTGATGATGATGGATGGTTGTGACCCACCACGTGGGTGCAGTGCCTTCAGAGGCCAACAGAGGGCATCAGACATTTTGCTGCATAGGTATGGAAGAAACTTGAAAGTTGTAAAATTACAATTTAGAATTTGTAAGATGTGGGACTTGGGTCCTGGAACTTGCCTTCCCCTGGAAGGTCGAGCACTATTTACCTCTGCACCATCTTTCAGGGCCCTCATTGTTACCGAGTTCTAACACATGAGGCATTTGCTTTATTATTTGTGTTTTAAAAAATGAGATGTTATATCTTAGGTGATGTTATGCCCTAGATGCTCCCCAAAGCATATTTTAATTTTAAAATTCTGCATAAATATAAAGCTCCCCTGGACCATCCAAAGCCTCCCAAATGAGAATGTTCATGTCGTCTGTACAGTGAATTTTGCACATGCTCTGTAGAGCCTTCCTAGTACACTTCTTCAGTGTGTGTGGAGGGAAGGGCGCTTGAGCGTGTGTGGTTGATCCTAAACCTGTGCCCAGGGTACTCACTGGATAGAGTCTGCCCCGTCTTCAAGGATTGGGCACTGGTAATCTTCATCTATACTTCATCTACAGCTAATGCTTACTGGAGATTTTTACTAGTCTGGTTGGGAAGTAATCCGAAAGTAATTATTTGGTACTTACTCTCCAAGAAGGCTCAAATATTAGTTACTGGGGTGCCCCACATAGTGTAATATGATCATGGACATGTTAGAATCAGAAAAACTTAAAATTTGAGTCCAACAGTAGTGACCTTGGGCTCTCACAGCATTTTTGAGGCTGACTAGGCAGGTCTGGAACATAGAGGTAGGGCTCCAGGGTGAGGCAGCTCTGATATGCCTGTGCCCCCACAGATGCCGGTGCTGAAGCAGCTGGGCCCTGCGCAGCCCAAGAAGCGACTGGAGCGTGGAGCACTGTCTATCTCGGCGCCCCTTGGAGACTTCAGGCACACATTGCATGTGGGGCGCGGTGGCGATGCCTTCGGGGACACCTCGTTCCTGAATCGCCACGGGGGCGGCCCACGCCCCGAGCCCCACACACCACCAGTCGGGGCCCCGCATTCTGTCCCTCCACCTGCAGTTCCACAGCCCCCTGCGCCTGGTCTCCGAGTGCCTTCACCTGCGGACCCGCTGTTGTCCTTTCACCTGGACCTGGGCCCCTCTATGCTAGACGCGGTGCTAGGCGTCATGGACGCGGAGCGTGCTGAAGCAACAGCCACCAAGCCTGTCGGAGACACCCACCCTGGAACGCAGCACCAGAAGGCCCGCTGCCACCCCAATGCTGACCTCCCACTGGACGACGTCATAGGCCTGTAGTGTCCTGATTCCTGCACCCCCTCAGTCCCGCCGAATAACCCACTTTTGTACACATAAATGGCTGAGGTTTGTGCCAGTGCTGTGTCTGTTCACTTTTTACGGGAAGAGGTGCAGAGGCAGGACAGTGGTCGATTGCTACCAACTAAAAGCCAAGTCCAATTATCCATGTAATAAACCACTCCCAAAGGTGGAGTCTCGCACCTGGCCGCTCCCACAGTCTTATTCATTCTTCAAATATTGACCCAGCCTCATTGCTACCTGGATAAAGTCCAGACACCGTGGTTTGCTTAGCACCACCTAGGGTAACATTTGGTTTGAAGAGTCATAGACGCCTGGCCCTACACATCCCCCAGGTGCACTTTGACCAGGCGGTGCCATTCGCTTTTCTGAGAGCAACTGCAAAGAGGAGCGGTTGGGTACTCCTTGGAGCCATGAGAGGCATGGTCCCGGTAGGTAGGGCTTCTGCTCCCACCAACTAAGTGTCGCCATGCGCGGTAGCTGTTGCGTCACAAATCTGGGCACAAAGTTAACCCTGAGCCCATAGATGTCCAGATGTTTTAACACCCTAGAGGTGCGGGGCTCTCTAGGCCTATATCATGGACTGAGGGTGGAACCAGATTCTCAAAGGTTCCCGGAAAGAGGGGACCTCTAGTATTTATCAATCGGCTTGGAGAGTGGCTATCTTAGGTCCCTGAAGGGACGATACCAACTTCCGGACTCAGAATAAGGTCTTTTGAAGTTTGCAGAGGGGTGGGTCATATGTGCCAACCTCTAGACTGGGGACAGGAGCAAGACTCGTACCCCACAACCAGGATCAGGTAAAACCATTGAAACTTGGCGAGGCCAAGGTAAGGCCAACGAGAGGAGGGGCATACATAAATCGTTCAAGTGGGTTGAGACCAAGGTAAGCCACTCTCCCAGGAAAAACAGGACGGGACAATCATAAGTAACTTTGCATGGGGCAGGACCAGGAGTCACTTTGCTCATAGTGAGGTATGTTATGATCAACCACTGGTATGGGGACTACACACTTTAAGGAGGTCGGGGGCGGAGCCAGGATATTGAACACACACACACACACACACACACACACACACACACACACACACACCCGCTCGCGCCCCTGACACACACAAAGGGCTGTGTACATGTAAATCGCATGCTGCGGAGTGGTGTCCTGAGAAGGACAGGGCACAAGCAAAGTATTTGGTTGCAGCAGGCCCGGATCTCTAAGCCCCACCCCCACTTCACGGGGCGGAAATATATGTAAATCAGCTGGCTGGAGAGAGGAGGCCTTGCTCCTCTGAAGCCCTGAAAGCGGCCGAGAACACGTAAAGTGTTTGCTTGGGTTGGGAACTGTCTCTCGCAAAAGCCCAGAAAGGGAGGAGCACATATGAAATAGTTGGATGGGATGGAACTTGACTCCACTGAGTTCTTGAGAGGATCTCAACACACTAGTTAATTGGCTGGTTGGGCGGGACTAGACTCGCTAAGGCCTCTGAGGAGCTGGACTCACGAAGATCATTTTGGGCGGAGCATGACCAGGTTCCCAGAGGCTCAGAAGCCAGCTACACGTAAATAAGCTGGGCGGGGCCGGGAGCACCAGAGCTGGTGGGACACTCCGAGGTCCCGCCTCGTCTCTTGGCCTCCCTCCGGGTGAGGCGGTTGAGGCGGACGGGACTCCTGGTGTCACAGTTGGGGCTCAACGTCGTGGACTGAGGCTGCCCAGTGTGCTGCGGTACCATGGAGGCAGGGGCCGATTCCTCCGAGGCCCCCTCGGTCTGTCGCTTCTTCCTAGAGGGCCGCTGTCGCTTCGGCGCACGCTGCCGTCAGCCACACCCCGGGGCCCCAGCGCCAACCCCTGAGGTCGCGCAGCCGGAGTCTGGGTCCAAAAAGCCGGCGCTGCGCACTGCCGCTGACGTCATCCAGCGCATCCGCTGGGATCCGCGCCTGGACCCTGCCGAATTTTCGGTGGGCTACACCGACCGCTTCCTGGGCGTGCAGGAAGAGCCCTTCTGCGCCTTCTGCTGGGACGAGCCGCTGGCAGCGCTCGGGCCCGGCGTATTGGCGGTGCCACAGCACCGCATCCGCTACTTCCGCTTCCGCGGCCGCCTGGTGTGGGACCGTGCCTCGCGTACTGACCTCATTTTTGGCTCGGGCTCTGTGGCTGGACGGGGACCCACTATCCTGGACGCACTGGACGACGGGAACGAGTACTGGCCAGAGGTTGCACCAGAAATCCCTGACACAGAGAAGACAGGTGCGGCTTTCGAGGGTCAGGACACTCAGGATGGCCCTAAGGAAGGGAGTGGAAACCCGGCAAGAACTAGGCTTGATTCGGGCCTGGAGACAACTGAAGAGGGTGCGGCAACCAAAGAGAACAGAACTGGGCTTGATTCGGGCCTGGAGATACCCGAAGACGGTGGGGCAACTAAGGAAAATAAAACTGGGCTTGATTCGGGGCTGGAGATACCCAAAGAGGGTGGGGCAACCAGAGAGACTGTCCTGAATCGGACCACAGAGGCAGGAACACCAGAGGCAAGCGGGTGCTTCACAGGAGTAAAGGAGATCTTGAACTCACTAGAGACACCTGGAGCCACTCTACTTCCACAGTGGGAGGCACAGGCCATGGAAGCTACTAAGCTTTCTGCTGAAGAGATGGGAAGTGAGTGGACTCCAGGGACTTGGCCTGATGAAAGAAGGTTCCCTCGCCAGCCCCGGCCCACACATTTTGTGGCACTGATGGCGACAGAGCCTGGGCTTAGGGCAGAAGTGGTCAAGGCCCAAGAGCATCTGGTGCGGATTGCTCCTCCTTGTGCTGCTTTCCTGATACCTGTACAGGCCCTGCACCTGACAATGGCCTTGCTGAGGCTGACAGGCCCTGGGGAGGAGGCTGCAGCTACCGGGGCTCTGCGGAGGGCCCTCCTGAAACCAGGGCTTCAGGTACCCTCCCAGCTACAGTTCAAGGACTTGGTTCTTCTGGGTCATCACGTGCTCTGTGCCATACCCTCCCCCACACTGGCAGGCATGGCTCAAACTCTGAATCAGAGGCTGGAGGCTGAAGGGCTGAGAGTGGTGCAGCCCCCAGGGGGCCTACAGCCACACCTCACCCTGGCCAAGGTGCCACAGGGATCCCAGGTTTGCATTCCTGAGCCTGAGTTCAGTTTGAACCAGGAGTTAGGAAGACAGCCCCTAGGGAAACTCTGGCTATGCCGTATGGGCAGAGCAGGACATAGCTACTTGCCCCTGGCTGAGATTTCCCTCAAGTGACCAACGTTCCAAACTTCGTAGAAGAAACAAGCCAAATAGAAACAATTTCTCTCTCTCTCTTTTTAATTTTTGGTTTCAAGCTTCCAAAATGTACTGTACTCAATGCTCAAGGAGAATGAAGGGAGGGGAGGGGAGAGGTGGGAAGGGGAGGAAGGGAGGCATCTGGAAAAAAAGCAGCCTGACAGTCCAGCTGTTTGCAACCTCATAGCACATCCTCCAGTTACATGGCAGAAGAGGAGGGAGGGGTGAAAAGAAAAGGGGAGAAAGAAGAAAAATAACTTAAACACACACACAGAGGAAAGAGAAGGAAACATGACGTGAGCTGGTGATCCATGAAGGCAGAGGGGAGGAAGGAAGGGAGGGTAACCATTTTACCTGTGTTGAACCAGGGAGCAGGAAGGGAGAAGGAAGAGGAGGGAGGGAAGGGAAAAAAAAATCAGAAGAAACATTGGGGCAGAGGGAGGAAGGGACACGGAGACAACTTAATACAACTCGAGTAAGACGAGGCAGCCCGGCTGGCATGGTCCCGCGAAGGCCCTGGAGTCCTCAGTGCGGTGTGGCGCTGGTCTGGCTGTGTTGGTGGTGCTGGCTGGCATTTCTGGGGTGAGGGGTTGAAGGTGGGGCATAGTCTTTAAGCAGCTCCCCTCACCCCAAACACTGAGGCCCCAATAGCTGGGCAACAAGAGTCTATGAAGAGGCAGACGAGGCAATTAGGTGTGGCTGGCTGGTGCCCCGCTGCAGGCGGGTGCGGGCTGGACGGCCTGTCTTCTTTCTGCTGACCCCCCAACATGGGATGGGCCAGCACGCAGGGTCAGGTGCTGGAGTACGAGCTCGAAAGAGAGAGAGAAAAAACACTGAGACAGCATTAGTGGAGGTGAGAGGTGGAACACAGAACCTGTAGCCCCCGCCCCGCCCTCCTCCACTATACTCCCAATTATCCCCTGTGAGACAAAAAATAAAAACGTAGAAAAATCTCTGTACAGATCCCCGGTGGGAAACGGGGGTAGGGATGCTGGCTCTTCCTGGAGCCTTCTCCCCACAAATTAATTTACAACCCATGTCCATGGCTCAAAAACAAAATCCGCAAAGGCGGTACTGGGCCACAGCCCTAACCCCGCCCGTGCTCGATGGGTGCTCAGAAGGCTGGCAGCTGCGCCAGGCTGAGGCGGCAGTCCACGCTGGAGTTGTCCGGGCCCGTGTAGGACAGGCCCAAGGGCTCTAGGAAGGCCCGGCAGGCGGCCTCGCCCTCGAAGGCCAGCTCGGCCTGCAGGTAGGAGACTGGCAGCGCAGGGCGGAAGCTATGGAGACAAGAGGAGAAAATGATGAGGCAAGCAGACAAGGGAGGGCCCAAGAGCAGGGAGCAATGCTCCCCATCTGGGCTCCCAGAATTTTCCTCAGCAAGGAACCTGCTGGCTTCTGCAGCCCCTCCCAACCTCCCCATGTTAGCGGCTTGGGGGGGCCAGGGATGGGGTTGGTAGCCCCAGTGCCCAGTTGCCCCCCCTTGCCCACACTTACCTGTCCAGGAAGGAGGGGGCAGGAGGGAAAGGGCCCAGATGGCTCCTCTGCTGGCTGAGGGGCTGGAGCCAGACAGAGTAAGTGGTACAAAGGCTTGGAGGGTAGGGACAGTGATACTCCACCCTCGAGGATGTTTGCACAGAGTGTCACACTCAGCAGTGCTTTCTGGTTGGTACCAAGATGCCCTAATTTTGTACATGTTCTACTAGTTTTGGGGACCCTTTCCTGCAGGCCATCGCAGCCCTTTAGCTACTTGGTTTCAAGTATCTGGAACCCAGGTACTCTATGGCTCTGGGACAGGGCAGCCTTCCTGTCTTTCAGGTGACCTTCTAGGCCATGACAGGGACTTGTCTGCCAAGTTCATAGGAAAGGTGCTGTGAGAATGAGGTCAACACAAGCCAGGGCCCTGAGTACTCACAAGGACCATTTGTGCTATGTAGCTAAGGTTGACTAAGAACAGGGTAAGAATCACTTGCACCACTGAGGCTTGAGGGCTGCTCATTGGACCATAAAAAGCTGACAGCTCGGTGCCCACTCATCTCACTCCCTTGAGTAGACTGACTAAAACAAAATCCTAGAACAATTTCTTCGGCAGGTCCCACCATAACAGGACCAAATGAGAAAATGTTGCTTAGCCCGGCATTCAAGACCCCTTGAGACTCTTGACAGATATATTTACCAGGGTTTCTCAACCTTAGCAAGACTGGCACACTGCTATGGGGCCTTTTGTTGCACAGCATTCCTGGTCTCCACCCACTAGATGGCAGCAGCATGGGGACCATCTCTTCCCCACATGGGCAAGCCTCATGAAGTATGATGACCAGAGGGCCTTGCCACACCACCCCCTGTGCCATAGGCCCCAATCACACTGTCCCAGAAAGACATTTCAAGAGACTGCTAACAATATGAGCCAGGCCACCCTTTCTAATAACTATGTCAGGAAGAAGAACAGCAAGTAGCTGCAGGCAAAGGCCTGGAAAAGGGGTTTCAAGCTGATGTGAGAGAGGAGTGCAGGGAGGAGAGGACGTGACACCAGGAGGAGCGAGGGAAGAACAGTGGGAGAAAACCTGGAACAGGGTGGCTGAGGGGAAAGCAGTGAGGGCCAGCGGTCACGTGAGCAGGAGAGTGGCAGAGCCACAGCACAAAAGGCAGCAGAGTGCAGTGCCACATACGTTTTGATCATGGCCTTGAGGGCAGCCTTGCGCTCCCGGTCTGCAAACTTGTCCACAAGGTAGCCAGACATACAAGGTGCATGGCAATAGAGCCGGAAGAAGCGGTGGTAGTTGCCTAGGGCCCACGCTGCCCTCAGTGCCAATGCGTGGGACACACAGGGGTCTGCTTTCAGCTCCCTTGTGAGGTATGCCAGCTCCGTAGTGATGTCTGCACAAGAGATAACTGGAGGTCAGGTGACAGGGTGCCACCTTGGGCACGGCACCCATCATGTTAGGATGGCCTCTTACCCCCAGAGTTCTTGGTGAAGATGTAGTAGAGGATTCGGTATGCAGTAAATTCACCCACATTGCCTGCCAAGTTTTCCGCGTACAGAGACTTGAGTTGAGTCTGGCACTGGTTGAATTCTTCATGGTCACCCTGAGCGTGGAGGAAGGGGTGTAAGAACAGGCAAGTACAGGTGGCTTCAAAAGGGTGGGTGCCCCATGGCAGTTGCCTACTCCCTACCTTCTCCAAGGCAATGCGGGCATGTGTCTCATACACCTCCACAGTGAACTCAGTGCGGATGCCTTGTACCTGGGCAGTGGGAACGGGCAGAGAGTCAGGCAGAGCAGAGCAGGGCAAGATGGCTGACAACAGAGCCCCGCAGCAACTGACTTACCGTGAGGTCCTGCCTAATGGACTTCATCTGCTCACAGGCGAAGGCATAGTCCTGTTTCTCCTTCCAGTGGGACTTGACCATGCACAGAGACTTCTTCAAAACCTGCAGGGAATAGAATCAAGGCTGAGTGTACAGACAGCTGACAGGCCAAAGCCACGGTGTCACTGCTCAGAGAGCTGCAGCACAGCCTCTATCAGTGGGTCACCACTGCTATGAACAAACAAACCGAGCAACACACAGCAAGACTCAGTGCCCCACAACTTCCTGTTGACACATAGTGCTGTGCCATACTGAAGCAGAGTAAGAGCTGCCTTTGCAAGGCCACCTGGCTCCAGGGTCCCATATGAAAGTCTGCCTTGACTTTGCTTGTAGTAAGGCTGACTGTGGCCAGGCTATGTCCCAAGTGTGAAGAGCCTGCACGCTAGGGTCTTCTCAGAGCCAGAGCTGCCACCTCCCTGGCCTAATGCTAACACCTCCTGGTGGTGGACCCACTGCCTGGGACTCACAGCCACAGGTCGCACAGTTGATGGGTCTGGGGCGCAGGTGAGCCGTAGATAGTGCTTTGTGATGTCAGGACAGGTGCCCACAATCTGTAGCTCCTGCCAGTCAGGGTCAGCTCCACTGCTTTCCAGGTTACTCATCTGCAGCACCAAAGGTTCAAGGCGCAGGCGGCGTGAGTGCCCATGCTGAAAGCGGGCTGCCCTCTTTTGCTTCTTAAGCTCACGCTCTGGGTCCTCACACTCAATTGCTGCCATCTTCTTGCGGCTGCGTTTGGTGGGAGCTAGGTCATGCCTGGGGACAAAGCGTAAAGAAGGCCAATGTCTTCAGTCACTCTGAAGGCCATCTACCCCACCTGTGAGACCCAATCAACTCCACCTATGCCTAGGAAAGAAATCCCACCCAAAGCTCACCTCTTTCCTCGCTGCGCCCTGCCTCGGCCCCGATCCATGTGGGCCCCGCGACCACCCCGACCCTTGGGGGGTGGGTTCCTGCGGCCTACAGGGTGACACTCATTCCCTGAGTAAGAGCTGTCAGAGTCTGAGTGGGAGTCACTAAATAGGGAAACAGAAAAGTCAGGCCTGAAGCACAAGGGTTAGGAGGCATCAGCCCCCTCCCAGCTGCCCTCCAGTACAAGCTTGCACACCTCCTCCGGAAGTGACGGGTAGGGGACCTGGATGAAGAGCGTGACCGCGAATCTGTGCTGGAGGAAGAGCTGTTGTCCTTCATGAAGACGTTGCGGTTGCCGAACTTGGCGAAGCTGCTACCCCGGGCTCGGCCAGCACCCCCAGACCCAGGTGTCCCTCGCTGGGATTGGGCACCCCCGCCCCTGGTCACTGAGCCTGCCCCCCTGGGAGGGTGAAGGCTGCTAGGGGCCTCCCACCGTTTCTTCTTGGGGCTCTCAGTCACAGGCTCCCTGGTCAGCCTGAGGATATAGCAGGGCAGGGCATTACCAACCAGCCACCAACCTGCAGGACTGCAGACCCCACCCTGTGGCCCAGGGCCACAAAACCTCAGAACAGAGAGGCACTTACCCTGGCAACTCAGCCATTGTGGTGCAGGAAAGGGACCAAGCCCAAGATTGTCTGTGTCCAGGGGATGCTCTTAGCCACAAAGCCACCCATACCTCCCCAGCCAGACCTGCCCACTCCCCAAAACCCTATCCTTGATCACTCCTGGGCTTTCTACCCTCCCCAAAGGGTCCTGAGATAGAGCTGTCAGTTTTTGAGGCCCAAGTCCCCAGGCCAGGACCCAGCATCCCCACTCCCTCATAGTGTCACCCAGACTGACCCAGGCAGAGGCTCTCGGCTCCAGTCAATGGTATAGGCAGAGCCATCCTGGAGCCGGGCCTGTAGCACCTCCTTGAGCAGCTTCTCTGTCCGGTCCTTGTCCTCTTCTGATTCACAGGCAGTGAAGCACCGCTCAACATATTCCTTCATATCCTGCGGCCAATCGTCCGGCTTCCCAGACAGGTTTCCCCGGCCAGATGGCCCACTGTGGGAATAAGACAGATGAGAGCACTCAGGTGAGAGGACCCCACATCTCAGCACAAGTTTTACTGTGATCTTAGATGGCAGTCCTACACCACATATTCCCAGGGTTCCCTTCACCACATGAGGCACACGGAGGGACCTTAGAGAACAGACACTGGTGAACACAGAGCATGGGTAGGTAGGGATGGGGATGAGACTTACCTATGGTTCTGGGCTTTCTCAGAGCTGGGCTGGGAAACAAAGCTACTGTGTTGCCCCTCTGTATTGGAGCTGAAGTTCTGGTTGGTGACAGCAAAGGGCCGCTTCTGGATGTTGAACTTGAGACCTCCAGTTCCAGGGGCTGCTGTGGGAGGACAGCAGAGATTGGAGTTAGGTCCTTCCCAGACATTCAAACTGGCCAGCGCTGGAGCAGGTCTCTAGCATGAGCAAATCTGTTCCAGAACAGTCTTTCCCTAGACTAGAGTCGATCACAACACCCTGACAAAGGTCCAGTCACTCTGGGTGGTTCACAAATGGGCTCCAACTTTCTGACCCCCAAGTCTGCTAACTCACGTTTCATGCGGGTCCACAGCTGCTGACCCTTCTTGGGCTTGGCAGGCTCACTGTAGCTGTGTGGCCCATAGGTCTGCCCTGTAGGTGCCCCTGTCTGACTGTGCTGAGTGGCTGGGGCTGTTCCAGGCTGAGGGCCATTGCTTAGACCATGTGTCCCATGCTGAGGGTTTGAGGGCTGAGGGGGCTGAGCTGCAGGTAGCTGCTGAGGGGAGGCCTGGTAGGCCATACTCTCATCCATGCCAGGGACCGGAGGCTGTGGGAAGAAGCAGAGGCTGAAGGCAGCAGGCAGCATCCTGATGTTCTTAAAGTCACCTTCTTCAGCAGTAAGTGCTACAATCTTCTGGGGGTTGCCACTCCGTATGATTGGTGGCTTCCTGGGGTATCTATTTTTACTAGCTATCCTTCCCACAACAGAGAGGTCTCAGACTCAAGAGGCTGAGCAACTTTCCATAGGCTCAGCTACCTACCACCAGTGCCAACACTGGGGCCTGACTCTATTAAAAGCCACCGACGACACATCCACTAGGGTTCTCTTGAGCACATCAACACGTGACAACACACTTACTCAAGCTCTATGAAAGGCTGCATCCTCTCAACTCTGAGGAGCCACTAATGTGTAGAGAACAGTGAAGCAAAGCAAGGACTCAAAGCCAGGTCAATGTACTTCCTATGCCCTAGGGTCCTCCACTCCTCTAGGTTGCACCAGTTGCAAAGGCAGCATGTTGGGTAGGTATGGGTGTGGGTGTGTGTACACCACTTGCTGTGTGTGCAGGGGGCACACTAGCTCCTGAACACAGTTGTGAGTACACGTACTGGAGAAAAAGAGAGAAGGCAGACTGCCAAACTACAAACTGCTCCTGCCATCTCCCCAACATTACAGCCCCCGGACCTTGCCCAGCCTCAAGCCCATCTTAGTTTTAAAAGCTAAGCTTTTACTTTAGAAGGTGCTTGACAAGAAAGAACAAGTGAGAGGGGAGGGAGCAGCTTTGAAATAGTGCAGACCATTCATGGTTGCAAGTCCCTTCAAAAGCTCTTGCTCCCAGCTTACCAGGAGCAGCTAGGCAAAGCATTACCTGGTTCAGAGTCCCTTGGTGCTGGGGAGCCGATGGCTGCTGGGCTGTAGCTGAGCCGTAGGAGCTGGCCATCCCATACTGGGAGGGGGAGCCGTAGCTCTGGTACATGCTCTGCCAAGGCACAGGAGGAGCCGGAGTTAGTGAAGGCTGCTCATGCCTTCGGCCTCCCTTGGACCCATGCTCAACTCAAGAGGCTGTAAACACCAGGCCCTTGTTCTTTCCACCATACAAATGCACCAAATCATGTATTTTCAAAAAAATCAAAACCAAAAGCCTCTTCATTCCACACATGCCAGCACCCATAGGTCTTGCTATCAAGTGAAAAGAAGCAGTGAGTGCCAGCATTTCTAATGCTATGATTAAGAGACAGGCAGGAGACAGGGACAGGCTCACCCCTTTAATCATAGGACTTATGAGCCAGGATGGAGACAGGTGGATTTCTGTGGAGTGTGAGGCAAGCCTAATCTACATAGCTAGTTCCAGGCCAACCAGGCCTACACAGTGAGACCTTGTCTTTAAAAAATTAAAATTAAAAAAAAAAAAAAAAAAAAGGCAAGCTTGTTGTGGTGATGTATATTCAGGAGGCTGAGGCAGGAGAAGTGGTTGAAGTCAACCTGGGCTATATAGAGACTTCTGACTCAAAAAGAAAAACAAATCCCGGGTTTAACAATGTCCACACATAGCTATACAGCTATAGGTGTAAGTGGGTAACGTCCCACAGTAATTAGCATGAAAGAAATCAAGGCAAAGAAGAGAAGCAGGAATATGACTTGAACAGTTTGGCAGTGGAAGGCTCTCTGAAGATGCTCTCTGGGCAGCAAGGAATCTTGAAGTGAGCACAGTAAAATGGAAAGCTGCAGCAGAGCAAAGCACAGGGGACTAGGATATCCTAAAGTCCTAGGGTAAGGAGGCAGTGGGATGGAACACGGACAAGTCAGATCTTGTGAGACCGGAACAGGAAGCTGGGATTTACATTAGGGGATACTGGTAGGTTTCTGCACACTGCTATGTCTGTCTTCACCCCCACTAGCCACGCCCCACACAGACAGAAAGCTCTCACCCTATAGTCAGGTACTTACCATGGGGTAGTAGTAGCTGTAAGGATAGGCATAATTGTACTGCTGGTACCACTGGTAGTACTGTTGCTGCTGCTGCTGCAAAGCTGAGGCTTCTGCCTGAGAGACATACTGTGGAGACAAAAGCAGCATGTACGTATCTGTCAGTACAGCCACAGGAATCTACAAGCACTACAGTCCCAAGAGGACAGGCCTTTAGTGCAGAGTTAACCACAGAAAAGAAATGGAGTCCATGCCTCTACAGTAAGAGTAGACTTCTGGAAGATGGGGCAAGTCTCCCTCCTTAGGATCACTCAGACCCTAGCTGACTCAAAGTTGTTGGTTTAGTTAACAGGGAAACATATTTCCAGTCTGCTAAGGCATGCCATTCTCTGAAAGTCAGCATCCTCCCCATCCTTCCCTCAGCAACAGCCCCACCCAGCACAGCAGTTCCAAGTCCTGTGTGCCATTCTCACTTGTGCACTGGACACCGGCCCACTGCTACTGGCTTTGGAGCTACTGGCAGCCCCTGCTTTGCTAATGCTGGCCAGGGCCTGGCGGGCCTTCTCCCACTCTGGGTTCTCGTGCATAGGGGTCTCCATGCCATTCTCTCTGCTGGCTCCAGCCACCATGCCATACTGAGAAGACCTGCAAAGGTGAGACAGAGTTATGTGCTACTGTACACAGGCAGACAAGGTCAAAGTTCCAGAGCTAAGATCCCTACCTACCACAGCCATAGCTGAAGCTGGCACATAGCAAGTGCCAAGCAAACAGAAGGTTGACCAGTATACACAAAACTTTACGTGACCTTAAAAGGACTCAATCTTTTACAAGTCAATGAATTCTGATATGGCCAACTATGGGGGGGGGGACAAAAAAAAAACAAAAAAGGAATTATCAGAAAGACAGTAAGAGGGGGCTGGAGAGATGGCCCGTATTTAAGAGCATTTGCTGATCTTGCAGATGTTGCGAGTTCAGTTCCCAGCACCTATGTCAAGTGGCTCACAGACACCTATAACTCTAGCTCCAAGGGATCTCATGCCTCTTCTGAGCTACATGAGTGTGAATTATACACTCACACACACACATACACACCGGTATGCACACACAGAAAGCTCAGACGGGAAGCTTGCCCCTCCACCCTAGCCCCCAGAATGTGGATTTCTTCTTCCAGGCCGTGCAAAGAAGTCCCATTGTATTTTGTTCCTCTTTCCCAGCACCACGGGCTGTGTTCCCCTAGTCCTACTAACCAATCTGTGCTGCGCTGATCACCCACGTTGGCCGCCATCTGGACCTTGGGGTATAGGGAGTTGACCTCGGGAGCCAGACTGCTTTTTCACTGTCTATAAGAAAAAAGATGAGTTAGACCTAAGGAGGAAGAAAGAATGTTGGATCCATAAAAGGATAGATAGGAAAGACAGAGTATCTCATAGAAAGGAGCACTGGTAAAGAATGGAAAAGAATCCAAGCATGGTGGCTCATGACTGCAATCCCAACACTCTTTTGGGAGTTCAAAGCCTGCCTAGGCTACATGTTGAAATCCTGTTTCTAAAACCAGTAAAAATAATCAGACAATTCCTCTTGTGGAATGAAGAGACTTGAGCATGAAAGGAAGACACTGGACTCCCTAAAATGCAGGATGTAAAAGTGAAAGACAGAGATGATGATGAAACGATCAGAGTGGACTCGAGGGGAAACCAGACTGAGGTGGTGGATGTGGAGACCCACGTCCTGGGCAGGGAATCCAATGGCAATTCCTAGAGTATTGATACAGGTTCTAAAGAAGCAGAAAGAAGGCAGGTACTATCCAGTGAGTAGTCTTAACTACCCGTGAATAAAGCATTAGCTACCAAGACGTTTGGCAAGAGGGAAGTTTCTGGGGACACACAGAGGATCATGGAGCCGGGACTGAGAGTAACACGGAGAACAAAGCAAAGTTTTCAAAGAGAAAGGGAATCTCAGGATGTCTCACTGAGGAGCAACAGAAAGTGGAGGTGGGGGAGGCTCTCCTTATGTGAAGTCACTGGCTGTCAGCACTTGAATCAATGAAGAGCCCCCAGAGGACAGAGACTTGTATGAGATGTTCCTGGGAGCAGGAGCTAGTCTGGAAGAAACAACAGGCAATCCCTTGGTACGATGTCTGCAGATAAAGTTTTCGGGGTGATGTGGGAGGCCCACAATTTTCTTAAGAAACCATTAGGGGTGAAGGGTGGGGTGACAGAAACATGAAGGACTGCCTTGGGGTCAGGACTTGAGGCCAAAACAATAGAATTTACAGCAAAGAAGCCCATGGAAGAACCAGAAAGCTTGCAGGAAGCCTTAGGGGCAATGACAGGCCTCAAAGACATTAAGAAAAAAAAAAAAAAAAAACAGGGCCAGGCAGTGGTAGTGCACGCCTTTAATCCCAACACTTGGGAGGTGGAGGCAGGGGAATCCCTATGAGTTTGAGGCCAGCCTGGTCTACAAGAGCTAGTTCCAGGACAGCTAGGACTGTTACACAGAGAAACCTGTCTCGAAAAACCAAAAAAAGAAAAAGAAAAACAGACAGACCACTGGGTGGAGTCAAGGGGTCGGTCGAAAGTAGGGAAGCAAGTGGGAGACCCTGGTAGTACTAACTGATATTAGGAGTGAGGCCTAGGGGTCAGGGATCTGACAGACGAGGACAACATAGACTCTATGCACCTGGCTGTCCCGCAGGCATGGGGTCCACGCCACCAGGTGGAGATGGAGGCCACCCTGAGCCCAAGCGACCCTCCTTTATCCCCGCGGTCAGCCACCAGCCAGGCCGTGCCTCCGCACCAAGTCGCGAGGATGGTCTCTCTGGGTTGCCCAGGGCAACTCGGGGCCGGCGTAACAGCGGGTCAATGGGGCCGCGAGGGGAGCGCCTAGGGCACTAGGGTCCGCAGCGTTCCCAGGGACTGTGGCGAAGCGGAAGCGCGTGCGCACGCGCAGTGTCGCCAGCCGCGCGCACACAAACCCCGGGCGCATGCGCCGACGGCCACACCCTTCACAGACGCTGGGAGCGGCGTCGGTTAGCCCGACCAAGCAGGCCCGGGCTCGCCGAGCGCGGAGCCGGAAGGAGTCCCTGTGCTCGCCCGCCAGTCCGCCCGCCAGTCCTCACACTCACCAGGACCGCTTGCTCCCGGGGTTCGTCACCGGTGGGCCACGGTGGCTACAGGACACCCGCGATAGCGCTCGGTCACCGGCAGGCTCTTCTGAGGCTGGAACGTCCTGACCGCGGCGTGATGGCGTCACCCAGACGTCTGTACCCGCCCCGTGTCGCGTACAGCCAATGGATGTCACCGCTCGCTTTGAACCACCCTCCACCTATCCCGCCTACGCAATTGCGTGTGGGCGTTGTCAGCAAACTGAGAGCTGGGCGTGGACGGTGGCCCCACGGGGACAAGCGCCGCAGGCTCTCCCAGACAGCACCATCAGCCATAAAATGTAAACTATAGGGACGGGAGTTCTGAGGCTGCGCATAGCGCTATGACGTTTAAAAAAAAAAGGAGTGAATAAGTGATGAGGATGAATCTTCCCCCAATAGGCTTGTTTAAACCTGGAATGGCACACCTGGCGTGAGCAACACTGAGTGAGACCCCAAGAAAGCAGGAAACACGCGTCGCTTGAGGAGTAGCCTTTTGGCTGTGACGCTGGAAAGGTAGCCGGGGCAGAGGAAGGTGTAGGGAAAGGTTTGCAGAACCTAGAATGTGTGTATGTGCTGATCAGGCTGACCCGGAACTCAAGGAGATCCGCCTCCCTCCTATGGGATTAAAGTTGTGCGCCATCACGCCCGGCCACAATAGGCTTTTCTTTTATGTTCTTTTTCTTTCTTTCTTTCTTTCTTTCTTTCTTTCTTTCTTTCTTTCTTTCTTTCTTTCTTTCTTTCTTTCTTTCTTCCTTTCTTTCTCTTTCTCTTTTTCTTTTGGTTTTGGGAGACCGGGTTTCTCGGTAGCTTTGGAGCCTGTTCTGGAACTAGCTCTTTTAAACCAGGCTGGCCTAGAACTCACTGAGATCCGCCTGCCCCTGCCTCCCAAGTGCTGGGATTAAAGGCGCGCGCCCGGCCCAGTAGACTTTTCTTAAAGCTCATTCTTTACACCAGAAATGATTGAATTGTGCTGTTCAATTAGGGATACCTGTTAAATTGATAATAACCCAGCTTCTAGTCACACTTTGTACCAGAGACTTTTGGTTATTACACAACACTTCGATAACTTTATAACATTTTGTTACTGTTAGCATGGTAGGCTTCTTCCCAAATCTCTTTTTTATAATGAACTTTTATTTTAGAATAAATTTGGGTTTACAGGGGGGAAAGTTGCAAAGATAATACAGGAGTTAGGCATAGAATGCCCAGTTTCCCCTATTGCTATCACCTCGGATTCACCTTGGTTTGTTTGTTAAAAAGTAAGAAACTGACTGACGTTGCTTTAATACTCTGAACTAAGCCGCAAACTTTAGACTTCGATACGTTTCTCATTTAATGTTTTCTGTGTGCCAGTGTGTAACCCAGAGCATCATGTTGCATTTATTTTGCTTTTCCCTGTCCTGTCAGAGCTGAGGTTTCTGGATTTATGACACCCATTTTCTTGAAGATGCAACTGAGGTTCAACGAGTCAACTGACTTACCCACATTCAGCAGTGCATCCAACCGCTGTGTGGGGGCGTTTCAGGGTCTGTCACCTGGTGCTTGTGCACCCGACTGCCACTGTTTGTAACACCCAACCTAAGGATCCTGCTCTACTGGCTTCCCTTAGAGAACTGCTGGTCTTCCAGAGAGTTCTACTTAGCAGGTCACTTCTCTTCCTTTTGTGGACTTTTTGTCTCCAGCATTTAACTAAGCCAAATGTTGCCTGGACAGAGGGCTCTTCACACACATCTTCAGTTGCTTGTCTCTTTCTGGAAGCCGTTCCTCAAAGGATCACAGTTGCCATTCTTTCACAGATAAGTAGGTGTTTGTTTGTTTGTTTGTTTATTTTCACACAACTGGGGATTCACAGCCTCTGGGCAGCATATTTTGAGCACCTCTTCTCTGGGCTTCTAGAACAGCACCAGACAGCACCCCAATTTAACGTCACAGTAAGTAAGTACTGGGCAGGGGAGTAGCACATTGTGTTTGGAAATCATTACAATTTTAACCACTTTATGAGTTTTGTCTCTGGATTTTTGTTTCTTCGTATGTTCACTTCAGTTGCTTATTTTTAAACTGAGTTGTCTTTTTATGAATTATTTGTCATATGTGCTTATCTTTTCATTTTACAAAAGAGAACTACATAGGCATTATTCCCATACAATAAATTTCCCTTTTTCCTCTGCCGTATTTGTTGGTTTGTTTGTAGCTTTTAGCTCATTGACTGCCTTATCTTTTCTTGTCTAGATTTATATCTTCACATTTCCTCTTCTACATCACCTTAGCAGCACTACATACAAATATTCTACTTTCTCTTTGAATACTTCTTCCCCTTTACTGGCACACACTTAGGTTTTCTGACATCTTGTGCTGGATTTGAACTGCTAGGAAGTGAGTTGATGCCACACCGTTCCTAAACCCACTAGGCCTTCACATTCCACATGCCTGGAAGCTCGACTTTGTTGTTCCTGTGGATTCATGCATGTTTAGATCTAATGCTACATTTATTCTCTTCCTGGGTCTGCCTCTTCCTTTGTCAGGACAACCAGAGCAGTGCTGAACCTAGACAAGAGGAGAGTTGCCTTTCAACCGTCAGGGAAGGGGTTATCTCTCTAGCTCAGTCAGGACTTCTCCCAGGAGGGGAGAAAAAAAGAAGGTCCTAGCTACTTGTAAAATAGTCTTCCCTTTTATTTCAAATCAACCCTCTTCCAAGTTAGTGCCATGAGTTGAGATTGCTGGAATATGGCAGGAGCAGAGACATCCTTACTCCTGCCTCCCCTAGTCCCTCCAAGAACAATACCAGCAGCCAGCCAGAGGTGAGGGACACCTGGCTGTGGGTCAGCCCCCTTCCCAGAGAGCCCAGATCCCTGCTCTGCCATCTCAGCAGTCCCTTGTGCTAAAGACAAATGGGAATGGGGGAATGTTGGGGCCAGAGCAGAATGTCATCCTATGTGAGGTGTCCATGGCCAGCAGTGTTAGTGGTCAGAGCCCAGTCAGGGTCAGGTTAGTGGGGCCTTCTCCAGCAGCCAGGAAAGGAGCTAGACAGAGGGAGAGATGAGGAGCTGACATAGGCAGGAGACACTCCCATGGACACCCACCCAGCCTCAGAGTGCCATAAGTCAAGGCCCAGCAGATCACCAAGGTGTCATTAAAGCTTACCTAACAGGAAATGCCACTCCAGGCTGGAGGGGAGGCTCAGATGGAAGACTGCCACTGCACAAAGCGCTTGGATTCCTAGCACCATAATGGGGAGAAGACATACAATGAGAATCTGTCACATACTGGGGGGCCCTCCCTCAGACCTAGGATCCCAGACCTCAGCGCCCCTCCCTCAGGTTCAAGACTCATCTCTCCTCCCACATTATCCCAGGCCCATCCCTTCCTCAGACCCAGGATCCCAGCCCCAGTCCTTCTCCCTCAGACCCAGGAGTTGACACCCCAGCCTTCCTCCGCAGACCAGGGTCTGTACCTGAGGGTTGAAAGGGTCGTCATCATCTGTGTCATCGTAGTCATCACTGGAGTGTGATGTGGGGAGTGGCAGAGAAGCAGGATGGGAACCCATCAGGAGGCTGCCCCATCCCCACCAGTGGCCCTGGGTGCTGCCTCCTGTCCCCTCCCTGGGGACCCTGCCCTCTCTCCCCTGCTGACCTGGGCGGGAAGAGGGCCCAGGCACGGGGCAGGCTGCAAAGGGTGGTGGCCAGGGCCCCCGCAGACAGGAGAGAGAAGAGCATCAGGAACAGCAGGCCCTCCAGGGCATCTTCACACAGGCCTCGGAGTGCCGAGCCATAGTCCTGAGGCAGAGGGTAAGCCTTAGAGCGTGCACACACGTACTCTGTACACAGGTCCAACCATCCACCTGCCTGGCTGAGTGGTATTGCATGAGTCACCGAGACTCTGTGCCCAAGAGTAGTCTCCTGTCAGAGAGCTTGTTCTGAACATGGAAAGCCATCCATATGTTCACCTTGTGCCTTTGGCTGAGCTGCAGCCCACCAGTCCGTTCCTGTCTTTATCTCATGCCTCTGCCCCACATGCAAAGTGGTCCACCATCTCCACTCAGCGCCCAGAGAACTGCTCTCGCAGGATCGCAGGTGGAAGAGCCTCTACACTGCTGCCTCCCACCAGCCTCTCCTTGTTCCAACCACATGTACTGACAGATGAGGACGCTGGCACCTTTTCCTGTAGCTGTGAAATTCATGTTGCCACACATTGTCAGGTGCCCCTTGGGTCCCACAAATCGCTGGCTTACGTAACAACTTAGGATTGGAAATGGCACAGTAGACAGAAAAGACAGAAAAGCTGCCCTGGAGGACAGCAGAACCACTGTGACCTCAATGCCCAGTGGCACAGCCAACGTGCTGGTTCATTCTGTAGAAATGGACTAAGCTGCCTTTGCTCAGCACTGGCAACCTTCAGTACATGGGGACCAAGGTAGCTTGTGAGCTGGTAGGACAGTAAGATGTTAGGACAGTGCCAGCAGAGGCCATTTGAGAAGGGCACAAGGAGCCAGGCAGATGGTTAGTTCCAGACAGAGGCAGGTAGCTGGGGGACATGGAGGACAAGGGTAGAATCACCAAGACTGAGGCCACAAGGCGGCTTTTGCTAGGGCTGTCTATACAGGCTCTGCTAGGTCAGTGCTAGGAGCCCTGGCTTTAATCCATATGCAGGGGGATTCACGCAAGGGCTTTTCGAGGAAGACTCTGATCTGATTGTGTTTGAAAGGATTACTAGCTGTCTCTGGATAGATGGAATGAGCAGATGGGCATGCAAGAGGCTGTGGTCTTGGCAGGAGGGGAGGGACCAGGGTCTGCAGCTGCAGTGGCTGTGTGAGCAGCAGATGCAGGGGGAAGTGAGGACAGCGAGCTGGAAGGGCAGTCCTGACTTCCTGGTGCAAGTGCTGGGGTGAGGGAAGAGGCTCCTACTGTTGAGTAAGTGAAGTGTGTGGGGAGGAGCCCATCAGGATACTAACCAGTTAGGCTTGCATCAGGCGTACACATACTGTGCCAATAGCCCCATACAATGCTGCCTTTGACGCTGTGGAAAGAAGCTAAGCCCAGAGTGGGCAATCTGCTTTTACAGAGACACACAGCCTAGAAGGTACAGAGCTGAATCTGGAACCAAGTCTCTTAGGTTCCAGAGACACCTCCCCCTTGCCTCTCATTTACACAGGGTCTCTCCCTATAGGCTTAGCTGGCCTGGGACTCACTTTGTAGACCAGGCTGGTCTAAAATTCCCAGAGTTCCACTTGTCTTTGCATCTGCCTCTGGAAGGGCTGGGATGAAATGTGTGCACCACCACACCCAGTCCGTTCTTTCTCAGCCTAGTGTCTCTTGTCCCTATTTTATTTATGTGTATATTTGTGTCTACACGTGTTTGTGTGTGTGTACATGTGGAAGGGTTGTTGTTGTATGCCTGTGCATGTGGGGTGGGAACAAAGGTTAAAGTCCAAATACATTTTGGGTTTTGTTTTATTTATCCAGACAGTTTCTCGGTATAGCCCTGGTTGTCCTAAAACTCATTCTTTTTTTTTTTTTTTTTTTTTTTTTNNNNTTTTTTTTTTTTTTTGGCTTTTTCGAGACAGGGTTTCTCTGTAGCCTTTTGGTTCCTGTCCTGGGACTAGCTCTTGTAGACCAGGCTGGCCTCGAACTCACAGAGATCCGCCTGCCTCTGCCTCCCCAGTGCTGGGATTAAAGGTGTATCAAGTCACTGTCAGCAATGTTTTATTTGTTTTTTAAGTAGGCTTTCTCTCTGGGACCTGGTGTGCACTAACTGGGCTAGGCTGGGTGGCCAGCAGGTCCCGATATCCACCTGTCTCTGCCCCCTCGGTGCTGAGCACCATATGCCCTCCTTTTTACATAGTTTCTGGGGATCAAAGGCAGGTCCTCATGACTGTGTGGTGAGTACTTTATAGATGGAGCAAAGTCCTCAGTCCTGTCCCTAATTTTAACATGTGGTGGAAAAGGTCTAAATGGAGAATCAGGGCCCAGGGTCACATGATATCTCAATAGTTGGCACAGACTCTGACCCCCTTATCTCTCCCTTCATAGTCATCTTGGAACCAGAATTAAAGCTCAGCATCTGAATGAGACATAAAAGAGGATTGGGGCCCAGCTTGCCATTGTATAAAAAAAAGCAAGGACCCCTACCTGGCCCTTCTCAGATACCTATTCAGTGACCCTTCACTGACTTTTTGGTACCTGCCCTCTGAGGCAGGATACCACATTAATCTCAGACTTTGGATATCCAGCAATAGGGAATTGGGGCAAGGACCTCCAGGTGTTGCTTAGGTCTCCCTGTAGAGAGGAGTTTGTTTGCTGAGTCTGTATCCTAATCCTAAGGTAGACCAGATGACCAGAGGTGGTGAAGAAGCATATGTTCTCCAGATCTGATCTGCAGTGAGCCCTTGGATGGCAGATGGGTAAAAATGTTTCAAAATCAGAAGGGGACAGACTGGCCATGCTTAGCAGTTCACACCAGAAGCAGCTCTGTGTCCTTCCATGACGTCCTTGCCTTCTGGGAAAATCACTCAACTGCCTTCTCCCAGCCTCCGGGTTTGCAGAAGATGTAATAATATTCCCTGCTGGGTCTGGAAAATATTGTCAGCTACTGGGGAGGCTGGGACCAGAAGATTAGGAGTCCAAGGTCTATCTGGGTAACTTAATGAGACTCTGCCTCAAAATACAAAATACTTTTTAAAAAGTATTTAAGGCGTGGTGGTGCACGCCTTTAATCCCAGCACTCGGGAGGCAGAAGCAGGCAGATCTCTGTGAGTTCGAGGACAGCCTGGTCTACAGAGCAAGTTCCAGGATAGGAACCAAAAGCTACGGAGAAACCCTGTCTCGAAAATAAAAATAAAAAGACTGGAGGTTGCAGACAGAGCTCAGTTGGTAGAGCGCTTCCTTAAAATACATGAAGCCTTGGATTCTATACCCAGTACTTCATACAGGTGTGCCATCACACACCTGTAATCTCAGCATTCAGGAAGAAGGTAAGCACAAAAAGATCAGAACTCAGGGTCACCCTCAGGTATGCAGCTAGTTGGAAACAAGCCTGGGCTACATGAAACCCTAAACACGCACACATACATACACAATGTGTGCGCACGCGTGCGCGCGCACACACACATATACACACCAATGGTAGTGTGCTCATCTAATAGGCTAGAGTATCAGAATTCAATCCCCCGGTACTATAAAAGAAAAAAGTCATCCTGGCCTGTTTATTGGGGTCAGTGGCCAGTGACCCCATAGAGTCAGGATCAAGGCAAAAGCAACTCTTGATGTTGTAAGGGTGAGAGTCTTTGTGATGCTCATAATTGTTCTCCCAAAGGTATAAAGGTGGGGAAGCTGAGACTCAGAGATGCTGGACTGCTCTTGAGGCCACACAGCTCACAGCTGAGCCTACAGTGGGCTTGAACAGACTGCTGCCCTTCCCCCCCCCCTTCACATCTAGAGATCCGTGATCTCTAGCATTCAATCCAGGGAATTAGGAGCCTTCTCAGGCTCTCATTCCAGGGCTTAAGAGGCTGAACAGCTTTCAAGAAGTAGGGGAGAAGGTAGAAGCTGAAAACCTCGGGAGGAGGGGAGAGAGAGAAGCAGAGGGGAGGGAGACAGAGGGACAGAGGGGAAGAGAGAGGAGAGGAAGGAGAGAGGAAAAGACAGAAGGCAGGCAAGCAAGCACACAGAGCGCACCTTGTGCAGACTGCGGCAGTGCAACAGTGCCACCAACTGGTGGAAGCTTCCCTCTGTCACATTCAGCGTCTCCTCCAAAGATAACAAGGGCTTCTGTTGTGGGAGGGAACAGTTACACAGTCATGCTACCCAGCAATGTCCTGCCCTCAACTCATGAGCCCCACTTCCCAGAGGGACCAGACAGTCCCTTTTACATAGGTTCAACAGCACTCTAGATCCTCCCTCGCCTCCACTTCATCCCCAGCTCCAAGAGACCAGTCTACTTCTGTCGCCTCTGGAGGCTCTGGCCCAGAGAGCTGCTTAGCTCTATTGCCCTGTCCCTTTCCATAGGCTCTGCACACAACATGAAATCATGCCTACTTAGAGAAGAGTCAGCTCCACAAGTCTATCTGACCCAATCAACCTGCCCCTTCACATGAGATGGGCCAGCATCCCACAGGTTCACCAGGCTCAGCTCCCCCCTCCCCCACCCACTGGTGCAGTCCATTGACCTAACCTGTGCTGCAGGGAACTGAGGGACAGCTTCCCGCTCCAGGCCCTGAAGCTGGGAGTGGATGCTGGCTAGAGCTCGCTGGGACAGAGTCAGTCTCTGCAGGGGGAGAAGAGAGAGAAGGACTCAGGTCAGGGTATCCACCATGCCATCGGTCCACTAGAATACACAACTCAGGACCTTAGCCCCCTCCACCTCCCAAAAGGGCAGCCCAGCATATGCCCTTGGGGCTCCACATTAGTTTCTTTGCCCATAGTCCTAACCTGTTGGAAGGGGTTGGAGACCGCCTGGTTGCACAGGAAATAATAGTTGAGGATGTCTGAAGTGGAGGGAGAGAAAGGAGCAGGCTATGAGCCTGGGCCTAGACTCTCCCTGGGCAAATCTGGAGGGCCATAGCCCAGCGGACATTCCCCAGTTTGGAACTTTCTTGGGGTCTCAAAGACCTGCTAGTCACTCTCCTATCCTTTCCTTCTCCTCCCCCCATTCTCCCTTCTCTTTCCCCCGCCTCTTCCTCTCCCTTCATCGCTTCCTTTCCTTCCCTCCCCTCACTCCCCAGTTCTGTTCCCTCTCCCCTTTCCTTCCATTTCCTTCCCTCCTTCTCTTCTTCCTGCCTGTTTTGTTGTTCAGTTTGTTGCTCTTGTTTTGAGACAGAGTCATGTAGCACAAACCAGCCTTGAACTTGCTATGTAACTGAGGATCATCTTGAGCTTCTGATCTTTCTTCCTTCACATCATGAGAGCTAGGATTATAGGTGGGCAATATCACACCACCTACTTCCATCCCTTCTACTTCACCTGCACCTGGAATTCAACTGACCTAATTATGCTTCCTTGTTCTCCCATAATCAATCAAATTCTCCTATCACCGAGGCCCATGGCCCACTCCACCACCCCCACAACTCACATTTTGATCCTGCTTTTTACCATCCTGCCAGGATTGCTAGATGATTCTACACTCTACACCTACAATGGACTGGGCACTAGGGGGGTGGCAGGGAGTGCCGAGGACCACAAGGATTTATGGGAGTCACCTGAGCTGAGCCCTGTCTCCTCCTCGGTCAGGTTCAGCACGTAGGTGTCTGGATTGGAACAGAAGTCACTGAGGCCCTGATGAAGGAAATAGGAAGGGATCAGACCAGAAATGTCCAATTTCTTATTTTCATAGAACTCAAAGGTCCAGGCTCCAACCCTGATCCCTCAGATCCAGGGGTCTAGACCCTAGCTCTCCTCAGACTGAGGAGTCTAGTCTAGGCCCCAGCTTCTGCCCTCTCAGGACCCAGCAAATAAGTTTGAAACCTCAGAACTGTGATCATATCCACCAAGCCTTAGGATCAATGGCAATAATTAGGTCACACCCACCCCAGGATTCAAAACACCCCAATCCAGAGTCCCATACTTACCACAGCTGTGGCAGCCTCTAGGCCCATAGAACCCCAGCTCAGGACAAGCACCAGGAGACTCATGGCGGTCATCCTAGAGGGGGAGGTGATTGGACACAGATCTCTTAATCAGCCTTGCCTCTTTCTATACCCCACATCCAATCACAGCCCTCCCCAGTACCCACCAACCTCCATAGCCTAGAGGATTAGCGTCAGAGGCATGGGAGTAAAGGGTGGGGTAAGGCCCAGATTGACGTCAAATAGAACATCTGTTCAGTTGGCAAAGGAGAGGGGAAGGTCTTGGCTTGCAGGTCAGCAGCCACTATCCCAGCTGTTCCTGGACCCTAGCAGGCAGCTGTCCACCCATCAGCTGAATTCACTGGGATTTCATTGCACAGGGTCCTGGAGGTTCTAAGCTAGTTTCAGGCCCATCTACAGCCTATTTTATTTAGCTATCCTCTCTCCACTCCCTCCACTTTCAGGATGTAAGGTGTGGAGAGTGTTTCAGAGTTAATTTCTGAAACTCAGAGCTTGGTTTATTTAAGTCTTGACCTATGTCCAGGGTTGTGAGGGGTAGAATAATTCTGGGTCCTGGGGTAGTAGGAGAGGTTAAAAGCTGTGGTAAACAGGAAGACCTGGCCCCCAGTCATATACTTGTTCAGCACAGTGTGTTCTATGAGTCTCCAAACCTTGATGAGAGCCTAGATGCAGTAGTTGGACTTATCTCCCAGGGAGAGTCCACAGACAGTGGGCCACAAGGGAGGAGGAAGATAAACTCTTCCAGTGATGGGCAGGCTGGACTTGAGCCCCACCACAGTACTTCTTGCTGTGTGGTCCTGACCTAGTCACATGGGCTTCAAACACCTCCCACTATTAAACAGGGGTATGATGGAGGAGGGTCATACTTTCATTGGTTAATAAAGAAACTGCTTGTCCTGATAGGTCAGAACATAGGTGGGTGGAGTAGACAGACCAGAATTCTGGGAGAAAGAAAGCTGAGTCAAGCAGATGTGATGGAGCCAGCCGCCAGGTCAGACATGCTGAATCTTTCCCAGTAAGCCACCACCTCGTGGTGCTACACAGATTATTAGAAATGGGTTAAGCAAGATATGAAAATTAGCCGACAAGAGGCTAGAATTAACAGGCTAGGCAGTATTTAAATGAATACAGTTTCCGTGTAGTTATTTTGGGTATGAAGCTAGTCGTGTGGGGAGCTGGGCGGGATGAAAAGCAGGCCTGCCCACTGCTCCTTCTACAAATGGTGCCCAGACGTGGATAACTGAATCCACAGAAAGCCTGAGAAAGCTTGGGAAAGAATAAAGCATGTTTTCTTGGTAGCAGCAATTTCTCAGGTCTGCTCTGCTTGCTACAGGCAAGCAAGCGCTCTCATCTAAGAGAGGCTTCCTGACTCAGCTTTAGCTGCAAAACCCTGTAGCTCTTTTAAGAGGTCCTTCCACGAAATACTTAGTGTTGATGAAAAGCTGAACACATGCTTTTTGGTTTTCATCCGTAGCAGGAAAAAGCTGTGCGGTTTTAAAATGCTGGCATTCTGGACCGTACTGCCAGTGCAAACTCTGACTCTATCAGGCAGGCAATCCAACTGAGTGTGGTCTGTGAGCAGAATGCTGCAGCTTGCTTGCTGGAAGGGACTTTGAAACACTGTAGAGTTGTGGCAATGAACACGGGTCTGGCTGGTACCTCAGCCACAAGGCTGGAATCTCAGAAAGCTAAGGATGGGCTGGATCCAGCCGGCAAAGCCACAGCTTTAATCCTACCCATATTGCTCAGTAATTTAAAGGCTCATGTGGTCAGAAAAAGAGAGAGAAATACAGTAAAGAGAGATTCAAAAACAAAGAAAACCTCTAAATGATTTATAGTGTGTTAAGAATATATGCAGGCTAAAAGTTCTTAAAGTAAAAAACAAAAAGAAAGAAAGAGAGTAGTTGGGTGTGGTGGTACACAGCTTTAATCCCAATACTTGGGAGGCAGAGATAGATTGATTTCTGTGACTTCAAGGTGTGGCAGGACACACCTTTAATCCCAGTACTGAGGAGACAGAGACAGATGGATCTCTGAGAGTTCAAGGACAGCCTGGTCTACAGAGTTATTCCAGGACAAAGATATACAGAGAACCTGTCTCAAAAAGTAAAGGTAAAAATGAAAGAAATAGAGGTTAAAACAAAGCTGCACAAAGATGGAAAATACACAGAGAATCTTGATACTGTATGCTATTATGCTCTCTATGAATTGTTTGAATGCTGAGGAAGGAGTAATAGCTGCTAAAAGATATTTGTTTATAAATGCTGCTGAACCAATCCAACATAGATATTTTGAAAATACCTTGACTTCAAAATTTGGATCTAAGGTTATGATGCTTCGGAAAAGTTCTCCTTTTGTTTTCACAGAGGATGAGATCCTGTGGATTGCTACTATTCCAATATGGTATGATAAACCACACCCTCCTGAAAGGTTGCTGTGAACACCTTCCAGAAAATTACTTCAGTCAATGCTGACTGAGATGAATCTGGCACACAGGTTACACCATGAAAGATCTGATTAACAGTGCCCCCATTCAGCAGGAAGCAGTTTGGAGAGAAATAACTACTACGCCCATATTCCCAAATACTGTTTATAAATGTTCTTTTACATTTAAAGGGGGATATGATAGAGATATGAATAATTTGCATTGGTATGGATTTGACTTTATTGATATAAATTTAAGGTCAATCTTGTTATATGTATAAGTATTTCTGACCTTGACTAACGTATTGTGATTGTGTAATGTATATAGGTTGTTAATGGATAGTCATTAATAATAATCAAGCTTATAGTCATGTTAGTTAGATTTTCTAGTTATGCATATATATATATATATGTATATATATATATTTCAGATAGGCATTCTTCATATCTTTCAAAGACTACAGAATATGGCATTTAATGTTTTAATAACTTAGAGCTTTTCATGACAATGAGACACGTCTGCTCCTGGCAGCACCAGCTACTTCAAGAAAAGGATGGGCATCAAAGAGGCTCCTTATGGAGTTTGATAGCCATTTGGGCAAGAAACTGCTCTTGCCTGGACTGTTGCATAAACTGGACACAGAGAACCTGCAGAGAGAGGACTGCTAAACTTGCCTAAAAGTGAGATGATCTTTTGGGGTTCCTGATTCATGAAAGAGTCTGTGATACATTTTGCAGGACACAGCAGATAGTGACTGAACTGCCTTTGAAATTTCCTGCTTCATGAAAATGTCTCTGGATACTATGGGCCTGTAGGCCAAAGATGAATGCCCCAACGGTACAGAGGAACTTTGGGTGACTGTCAAGGCAGCAAGATATCGCTGTGATTTCTAGAGTTTTGTAAGTTGCTTACTTCTCATTTACTTAGGTAATACTATATCCTTCTGGAGTCTTTGATGGAGTTGAAGAATAGATAGTTATAGTTGTTTTCCTTTGTTATGATAAAGGATAAAATAGATATAAATATTGTAACTGTAATTCTTGCTTGATAACTGTTTTGTTAATGTAATTTTACTATGTTAAAATGAAAGCCTTCTTTTTTTGTTTAAACAGAAAAAGGGGAAATGATGGAGGAGGGTCATAGTTTCATTGGTTAATAAAGAAACTGCTTAGCCTGATAGGTCAGAACATAGGTGGGTGGAGTAGACAGACCAGAATTCTGGGAGAAAGAAAGCTGAGTCAAGCAGATGTGATGGAGCCAGCCGCCAGGTCAGACATGCTGAATCTTTCCCAATAAGCCACCATCTCGTGGTGCTACACAGATTATTAGAAATGGGTTAAGCAAGATATAAAAATTAGCCGACAAGAGACTAGAATTAACGGGCCAGGCAGTATTTAAATGAATACAGTTTCTGTGTAGTTATTTCGAGTATGAAGCTAGTCGTGCGGGAGCTGGGTGGGACGAAAAGCAGGCCTGCCCGCTGCTCCTTCTGCAGAGGTCAATGCCTACATCCCTGGGTAACTGAGTGTAAAAGTCCCATGAAGTCCTAAGAATGATATCTGGTACACAGTGAACTATTCAATAAGTGCATGGGTCCTATGTGTCCCCACATTACCATAAGTCCCTCACCTGCCAAACAGAGGACCTGGTGGCACTTCCTCCATGGGTTTGTTGTGGTGACCAAGGGAGAAAGTATCTGTGCCATGTCAGCGATCACCTGATCATCCCCCCCCCCCTTTATAGAAAACACAGCCTTTGTCTTTCCTAAGACTTTAGCAATGCTGCATGCTGGAAACCCGCCTGGTTTTCTCCCCTGTGCAATATACTCCACTCACACAACCACCAGCCACTTGCTCTGCTTCGCCAGGCCCAAGAGGGTGAAGAGGCAAACCAGCAGCACCAAGAGCAGCAGGAGGACGTAGGCCAGCCACCTGTAGGAAGAAGGGAGAAGGAAGTGGGCCTCTGGAGGCCAGCAGGACCTCAGATTCACGCTAACCCAACCCGACCCTGCAACCTCCCTGCTGCCCAGCAAAGTTCATTGGTGAAACGGTGCATGGGCTAACAAGACTCTGGAGCACCTGAAACCTACCCTGAACAGATCACACAGAAGTTCTGTGTTTGTGGACAAATGCATTGGCCTCTCTAAATAAATCCCTGAGCCAGTACTGTAGGTTGTCAGTCACCCAGGAACTTAGTGCACACTTCAGAGGTCTGATGTCTAGGTCTCAATTACGCAATTAGCCATGTAACCTATTTGCCTCAGTTTCCCTACCAGGAACATGAGTGGCATATCAGGGTCAAATTCAAAATCCGTTGCCAGGTGAATAAATGGACACATGGAACAGTCCTAGGAGAATGGGCTTGTGGGTGAAGTTCATGTTAGCTAAATCATCATCCCGGGAGCTGTGAATGCCACACAATATGTAAGTAAGTAAGTAATGCATCAGGACTGTAGAGGAAGCCACATGGGGGCCCAAACTCGGCACTTGGCATACTGTGAGTGCTCCACAAAGAGATTCATTCTCAGCAGTCACCATGTAATTGTGCTTTGCACTCCCTGAGACCTTGTCCCTGGCCATACCTCCGCACTCACCTCCATGGCCCCAATGTATTTATTGAGGGCCTGTCTTTTACCAGACACTTTTCCAGAGCATCTGCCAAGCATCATTGTCACAGTCCCCTCTACCTCTTCGACCAGGCTGACACAGAACCTGTGGCCCTTGGACCTAGACCTGCCTGTCTCCCACTGCCTCATCTTCAGCATCATCCGCTGCTGGGATTGTTTCAGCCCCAGTGTGATTGTACCAAGCAGCATGGCCTCCTGCTTGGGAACAGAAGACTAGGGAGCGTCAGCTAAACGCAAGAAGAAATGAAATAACTGTGTGGATATAAAGCCAGGTCTTGCTGGCTGTTGAGATGGATGGTTGACTCAGAGGGCTTCACAGCTTGCCCTTTCCTCCCCAGTGTCACCTTTTAGTATGGCCCTTCTAAACACTTTCACATAAACTGCCCTGCCTGTCCCCAGACAAGCCCCTTCCTATTTTACATGCTCCAAAGCTCTCATTCACCCACCTTACAGAAAACCTGCTTTCTAAAAATATTTATTTTATATTTTATTATTATATTTATATTTATTACCTACATATATGTACATCTACCAAATGCATGCCTGGTGTCTGCAGAGGTCAGAAAGAGTGTTGGATCCCATGGAATTGGAGTTACAGATAGTTGTGAGCTACCATGAGGGCTGGGAACTGAACCTGGGTCTTCTATACAAGCAGCAAGTGCCCTTAAGCCACTAATACATCTCTCTAGTTCCTCTCTTCTTACTCCATTTGATGCTTTGGTGAACACAGAGCCTCACACATGCTAAGTAGGCAACTCTACCGGAGTCAAGTTCCCCAGCCCCTCAGTAGTAGAGTCTAAATAAGTCTCTACCAGAGCCACAAACCCAGCCCATCACTGGGGAATTCTAGGCAGGCGCTCTACCACTGAGCCACATCCCATCACTGGGAGATTCCAGGCAGGTGCTCTACCACTGAGTCATACCCGCAGTCCCTCACTAGGGGATTCTAGGCAGAAGTTTTACCTCTAAGTCACACTTTCAGTCCCTCAGCAGTCAGTTCTAGGCAAACATTCTTCCATTATCCAGATCCTCAGCCTTCTTTTTCCTCTTTGAGACAATGCTTCACTGAGTTATTCAGACTGACCTTGAAATTACTCAGTAGAACAAGCAGGCCTTGAGTTTTCAACCTTTTTACCTCAGCCTCCAGAGTAGTTGAGATTACAGGCCTATACCACCAAATCTGGCTTTGTAAGCCTGTTTTATACTGATCTCCCTGCTAAAGAATCTTTTCTGGGTGGAATTTCCTGTGTCATCCCCTCTGCTTGGCATATCTGTACTTTACTGGCACTGTTCTATCTGTCATAACATAGTCTTTGTTACACTCGAAGTTATTAACTCTCCACAAGGCATTTTGAGCTACGCACAACAGGACTGACTTTAAGGTGGGAAAACCAAGGACAAAGAAACTTGTGTAAGTGTGCACAAATACAGAGTGGTCTCCTGAAGATAAGGTTCCTAACCACATGTGTCGTCTCTCACCAGATGCTAAGTAGTTGCAGTGAACAGTTGCCTCCCAAATAATCTGGTAGGTAGGTTTGCTACTGGGTTAGTCCAAAAGAAAGCTGAATTGTGATTGATTTGCTGAACGAATGAGTCAAGTAATAGCCGAGTGAGCGAAAGAATGAGAGAGGAGACTGTGGAGGGGGTATGTAAACATGAGGATGGGCCCCCAATCTCTGGATCCAACCTCACAGCTCAGTTTGTCAGCTGGTCTGTGTTCACAACTGGGCAATTCTCCACAGTGGGGCTGGCCTGGGGGATGCTGACCAGCATCATCCCTGCTTCCACCAGGTGACAGTAGCTTTGCTTCCCCAGTGGGGCAAATAAAACTGTCTCCAGATACTGTCCCACATCACCCCAGGGACTAGTGTGAGACTACAATGCTAAAAAAAAAAAAAAACAACAAAAAAAAAAAACAAAAAAAAAAACACAGAAAGGCCCTTTTCCCACCTGTACTCCTCCACAAAAGTCACATCTTCAGCCACCTGCACTGGGCTGAGGGACACTCCTTGCCAGAAGGCCAGTCCTTGTAGGTGCTGAGCCACGGCCTCAGCCTGCCTCCTGGCTCCCCGGGTGGCAGCCACCAGCTCCACACGTTCTGATAGTACTTCCTCCAGGGTGGTCAGCTCAGTCCTCACAGCCTCACCCAGCCTCTCCACTGTTTCCAGCACCTGGGGAGATGACATGGTCTCAGGTCTGGGACCGCCCTTTCCAAAGCCTAGGGTTGGGGCTGAGGAATGGGGTCTCGGGGGTGAAGCAGGGATGAGGAGTATCAGTTGCCTGAGATCTGGAGTTCTGGGGCATCTGGAGACGGGGAATAAGGTGAGTCAAGGTGGGGCTCCCAGGTCCTCTAGTTTAGTCAGGAGCTTGAGTCCAAGGTAAAGATTCTAACCCCAGCACTGAAATTAAGTCAAAATGGAAGGATGAGTCTTAAGTCAGAAGTCTGCATCAGTCCTTTTAAGTCTGGGATCTCAAATCTGATTCCTTGGCTCTAAAGTAGGCACTGAAGTATAACACCTGCATCTCAGTCCCAAGCTTATATCCTGGGGTATAAGATCTCACAGTGGTGGTGGTGGGGGGTCCCTGAGCTTGTATTTGGTCCAAGGATAGGATCTGTAGTCTTAGATCTGGCCTGAAGACAGGGACCAGTAGTGTACTTGGTGTTTTATCTCTAGCTTGGTTATAAACGGAAGTGCAGGCCTGGGCCTGGATAAGAGTCTTCAGCCTGAGTCTGAATCTTCTAGATCCAGCTCCAGGTTGCAGGGTTTGGGTGGAACATATGGTTTAATGTCAGCAGGTCTGAGTTTACAGTTCTGATCTAGGGATTAGGTTTCTGGTCTGGGATCTGCTTTGATCTTGGCTTCTTTTGTTCCTCAGTGGGGGACCACATTCCCATGTGGAGATCAATTGAGGTATGAGTTTGCAGTCTGGCTCTTTGCTGCCCCTCTCACCAAGTCATCAATGGTGCTGAGTGTGTGGTTGGCATGCAGCAGAGCTGAGCTGAGCTGGGACACCCCATCGCTGGTCTCGCTGTTGCCATAGAAACCAATGCCAATGCCTGCACTGAGAGAAGAAGGAAGAAGAAATACCAAACAGTCTCAGAATCTGGAGGGCAGGATCATGCCTCCACACTTACCAGTCCTCCCCTTTGCTTCATTTGCCTATCCAATCTCTGCATCCACCCTATTGGTTCATCCTCCGTGGGAAAAGGAACAGCCCAAGGTTGGCCTCCACCAGTTGCCAGGGTAACCCGAAGACCTCACTCCCCCAAGCTGGAAAGACGTCATTGTGATGCTAATGGTGGGTGGAGTGGTGGAAAAGAAGGAGCCCCCAGATTTAACTCGCACCTCCCCAGAATGGAACCCTGGTTTTGCCTATCCCCGGTTAAAAGGTTACCAACTCCTAATTATGATCAGCTCACGACCAGTTCCTCCATCCTTTGTCAAAACACCCGAGAATTCACAGCCTTGTCTTAGGAGTCATTAGGCTCCAACCCCTGTCTCTTCCTAGCCCTTCCTGGTCTTCTTTGCCCCTGCCTCCTACAGGTTCCTAGGAGCACAAGGTCGCTAGCCCCAATTCTTTTGTAAAAGACCGCATGCCCGGGAGCTCTCAGCCTTCCCCTATGCTGCCCAGGGATCCAGGCATCTGGCCAGCTGGAAGAGGAGTAAGAGAATGTGGGAGGGAGGGCTGAAGGCCAGGCCAGGAGCTGGGCTCCTGTCCCTGCCCAGCCAACACACAGACTTCCATTGTGGGGCTTGAATATGGGGACCCACTTTTCTCCCTGAGTCTGTGCCTCACACTGGAGGGGGCGAGAGCCTGATGCCCTCACAGTTCCCAGCCCTGGGCTACACAGGCCCCCACCCCATCCCTTGGATGGGAGCCTACTGGCCCTGCCCCATTGTTCAGAACCCTACAAAGCTCCTCTTGTTCCCAGGCTCTGAGGGGGCTGGGGTTGTGACTCTCCCCCACTGGGCCTTTGTCAGCCTCCCTCATCCACCCCCATTCTGGAGAGCCTGATGAGAAAACATCTTGGACAGAGGGTGCCCAGCCCCCATATACTCCCAAACACACACCCTCTTTTTCCTACAATGAGAAGAGTGGACCAGAGCCCAGATTGGAGTGACTACTCCAGGCCACACCCCCAGATGGCTGGAGGGGACACCAGGGCTCCTGCTAACTGTGCATGAGGTCCCCAGCAGGTCCTGAATACTCTCATATGTGACATAAGTCAGCTAACCATGACCTAGGAGGGGCTGGTCTCAGAGCCAGCAATCTTGGTGTCAAGTTCACTGAAGCTCCTGTGGAGTTCCTATTGAGGGTCCTGAGGGGGAAGTGGGAGGAGAGGGTTCTTTTTTCATGAGTCTGAATCTCCACTTGCCTCTTAAACCATATGGGCTTGAAAATTCATTTTCTCTCCCTCCCTAACCGTCCCTCAATCAGAGCCAGGTGTGGCCATCTTGAGCACAGCTCTTAAAAGACTCAGACCCAGCTTGGGTGTGGGCTGAGCAGGTGCTGCTGCTGCCCTGTAAGCCCTGCTGTTTCCTTGACTGAAACTCTGGCTGAAGTCACAGAGTGCCTGGGCTGGCATGTCCCGTGTCTGGCACATGGTAGTTATGTTCAGTTGTAGAATGAATGAGCTCAGTGAATGAATAACTCTTTGTTCAGTGCTGACACGGAGGACACCCCCTAGGACCCAGGTGCTGTGCACTCTCTAGTCTTAGTGTGACTAAGGAGGGTATGGGTAGTATTGCAAAACTCACTTTATGGACACGGAGGTCTAGAGAGACCATCTCACTCCCCTAGGTAGCACAACCACTGAGAACCCCAAACCTATCCCAGGCTTTCAATTCTACTCCCAGGGTGGCTGCTATATCCTCCTTAAGCCTCTAGCCCTCCACTCACCAAGCAGACAGGTACTCTCTGCGCCAACTCAAGGTCCATACCCCAAGGTAACTTAAACAAGACTGAGAGCAAGTGTAGGGAGCTCTATCCCCACTCCCCACCCATCCTGGGACCCCATTACCAGCCCACGAGAAGGGCAGCGATGCAGCTCCAGATAACACAGCCTCCTCCGGGTGGGGGACTCTTGGCCCCAGGGGGTTCTGGGGGCCTGCAGCAGCAGAAGCGGATGAGGTAGACGGCGATGAAGATGAGGCTCAGGCCCAAACCCAGCCCGGCCAAGGCTGCCACCAGCAGCAGAGCCTGAGGAAGAAGTGATGAGAAGCCTCAGAGAGCACTATCATGTCCCAGACAAAAAGCTCTTCCTCAGTTGGGGGGCTCAGCGGCACGAAGCCCAGCCCCTGATGGCACCCAGGTTGTGGAAAAGTTGAGATGCCTATTCTCTCTCATATTAGCAACTGAGGCCCATCCAGAATTTAGGGCTAGGTTGCCGGAGGCAGCATCCAAGTAAGGAGCCCAGGTTTGGGGTTCTGACCCTGCTTGTTCTTCCCAGGGTGTATGGCCTCAAAAGGGGCCTCATCTCTCTGAGTCTAGGCTTCCTCCTCACCGCAATCAGGCAATAGGAGTGCAGCATGTCTCACGAACTTCCAGAGGTTCCCTCTGAACTGTATGGAATGAAGGCGCAGGAAGGCTTCCATTTCCATACTTCAGGGGAGCAGGAGAGACAGCCTTCTTTACCCCCTCCTGCTGCTGAGCTCACACACCCACTGCAGTTGAGTCTGTCACCCCAGGGCTGGGGACGGGGACAGGGTGCTGTGACAGCTTGCATGTGTGTGTTGTGATACATACACACAGGGCTCAGAGATGGAGATAGGGAAGACAGATCAAGCAATAGAGAGGGATAGGCAGACAGAAGAGGCAGGCAAGGAAAGAGACAAAGGCAAAAAGAAAGAGGAATGTAGAGACAAGACATAAAAAATTCCAGAGGGACCTAGCACAAATAGGGAGAGAGGGAAGAGGAAGAGAGACAGACACAGAGAGATGACGAGACACACAGAGAAAGAACTACAGAAAACCGGAGACTGACATGGTAGTATGTAGTGAGACCCAAAGGCAGGAGGGAAGGAAAGGCAGGCAGAAAGGGTGTTCATAGCTGGGAACACCTTGCAGAACATCATATCTCTGAGCTAGGAAAGGCAGTTCACCCCATAACCCCAACACTCTGGAGCTGAGGCAGGAAGGTTGTCACAGTTTCAGGCCAGTCCCAGTTACATAAACTCCAGCCAGCCTGGACTACAGAGTGAGGCCCTGTCTCAAATAAATTATAGAACAGTAGGCTCTTCATGTGATAGGGGCTTCCGGGAGACCTGTGTCACCTGTCTTCTCAGAGGCCCAGAGCTGGACAAAGTTGCCTGGAGCTACACTGCAGGATGTGGGCAGGATGAGATCTGGAATCACAGCCCTGCATTCCCAGGGACTGTTGTTTTTGAACCATAGCATATCTGCCTGTCCTTCACAGCACCTGTGTGAGTGACAAGTGTGAGCAGTGTTTCTGTGGCTGTGAATTTGCCTTCCACCAGGTGAGGGCATATGGGCTGTGAGTATAAGGCGTTTGTGTAGGTCATGCTGCATGTCTGTGTGCAAGGGAACACTTGTGGGCATTGACGTTTTCTGAACACAGCTTCTTCAGTCAGTGAGTGGTGTTGGACTGTGGAGTGTATGTGTGCGTGACTTTGACTGAGTTTTGTGAGTTTGTGTGTGTGTGTGTGTAGTCGGGGGTGTAGACGTGTCACGTGTGGGGTGTTTGTGTGTGCCCATGTGTGTGATGGTGTACATATGAGTGTGCTGTGTATATGTGCCTTGTCATGTGATCCTGAAGGTCCTGTTCCAGAGACCCTTATAGCGTCTTTTTGTGTTCACAGTGGTCATTTTTATGAGGAAGAATGTCCCGGGGATGGGACTGTATGTGCCCTAGCTTTGACTCCGGCTGTTGAAGATCAGGTTGAGTGAACTGTGGTGGTACTGGGGGCCCATGGGGGATTCCTCGTGGCTGAGGCGCTCTCTGGAGCCATAAGCCCCGTGAGTCTGGCTGGGAGTAGGTGGACCCACCGTCTGGAGGCTGTGATTGTGTAAGTGGCTGTGGGCGAGGGGATGGCGGTCCCTGTTTGGAGGGGAGAGGGGGCGGGTGGAGTAGGCAGGGAGGAGCCGCTCAGGCTGTGCCAGCCATGACCCAAATAGCAAGCACACAGCACACGTTCCCCCTTGCTGCTTTTCTGGGAACACCCCCTCCCTCGAAGCTCTCCCAACCCTGTGCCCCTTTCCCAGAAGCCGCAGAGATTCAGATTTGGGGAGAGGGCAGGGCTGACTCCCAGCCCCCCTCCCCAGGCCCCCCCAGCTCAGCCAAGCTTTTCTCATTAATCTCAAAGTCAAGGACTTGCATTAAACTGGGTCAGGGGACATTCACACCCCCCCACCCAGAGCTGCAGCTGGGCCCCTTTCCCTGGAGACCCAGCTTCTGTGAGGTTCCACTACCAGCCTCACCCTCCTGGGACCCAGGCCTCTCTTTACTATCCCCCAAACTAACCTCATCTCCACCCGATCCTCTCTAACGCCCTGACAGCCCCTTCCGTCCTGGGGCAGGCCCAAAACACCCTGAATCCTCATCTCACCTCACCTCATTTCCCAGCCCTGGCCCTAAAATCTCTCTTCCCTATTTGAGGATATCAATCCCCGGTCCCAGACTTCAGCTGCCTTCCCAGACTTCCCGCTCTCTGTCCTTTCTCTTAGGTACCCCCCTTTCTGGGACATATTTACTAGCTGGGATTCTGTAGGGGCGGGGTCCTTCTCATGTAGGACCTCAAGAGCGGACCTTTCCTTAGATGACCCTGAAGACTGGCTTCCAAGGCTGGTCTCGGGAGCCCAAATGCTGGGGCCTCATCTCCGCCCATTTAGGACTCTTGGGGAGGGGTGTCTAGGCTCTTGGCTTTCTCTTATTTAGTAAGAGAGGGGTCTGCATTCCCAGCGCACGTCCGAGGGGGGAACCTCAAGGTATGAGCTCTCTACCTCTAATCATGCTCTTGTACCTCCAAAAGCAGGCTGGGTCCCCGACCCCCAAGATGCAGGAACTGTGACCCAGACTCCTTTTCCCGGGGTACCTTGCCCCTGTTTGCTATCCCACCTGCTGGTACTCTTGGTCGCGGGGCGCAAAACCGCTGGGCACCGGTCGGAGCTGGAAGTCAGCGCGGGGCAGCTGGTGGAGGAGATGCACCCAGGCAGAGGGTCGGTAGCCCGGGGGTGCCCCCATGGCCCCGGGGAGGGGCAGCTGGGCGGACCGGGCCGGGAGCCTCGGTGCTGTGCGGGGCGCGGGCGGAGCGGGGTTTGCGGGGCTCCCGGGAGCAGGAGCCCGGAGGGCGGGGGGTGGAGATTGGGGAGGGGGAGGTGCGGCAGGCGCCTCGGTGCTGCCCCTGGCGGCCACCGGAGGCAATGCGGTGTGAGCAGTGGGCCCAGTTGCTCCGCCCTCTCCCGGGCTCCCACCTGCTGCCTGAGCAGGTGCAGGGTCTTTGCTCAAGTCAGTTGTATCTAGGGGCTGAGCTGTGCTGAGAACAAAATCGGTTAGCCTTCCTTCTTTCCGTACGTGCAAGAAGCAGGATACTGTGATTTCTCTCTGAAGCACACAAGCTCTTTATCCTTATGTAAAACCTTCACCTTGGTGTAAAGGTCGTTAGTATTTGAGCAACATTTTGTAGGTAATACCCAGGCGCGCCAATGAAAATCCCTCACTTTTATTCTAAGAGTGTTCTCTGTTGTAATGAGCGCTTCTGCTTGGATAAAAGTCCCAGCCCCCACCCCCACCACTTTGTCCTAACCTGTATATGGACAGGAACATTCCTGTGTGGACAGATCCTTCTAGGATGTGTTTAAAGACCTGCACATGCTGTAAGGACTAACCAACTTCTTATAAGAGGACAACCCCCCCCACCCGCTTTGTGTAAGGGTTCCTGTTATCCACGTAGGAACTCATCCCATCTGCATGAGGTGGCTTCCCAGGTCTTTGAGACGTCCTTCAGACTGCGTCAGTCTATACCATCCTCACCCATCGCCATCCACCTTAAAGTTTTCAAGGTATCTTCTAGAAAAAAAAATATACTTGTTTGGGATCTCATTGGAAGCCACTAAAGTCACACAGATAGATGAGGAAGGGTATATAGAGACCCTGGCGGGGGTCCTGACGACTGTGATATCATCACCCCAGCCTTCACTGTATGAACTAGAACTAACATTTCCAGGATGCCACACGGGGGTCCCTCTTGGTGTGGAAAAGGAACAGTCTTTAGTCTTTGCCCCTGAAATACCCAATAATGGAGAGAGTAAAAGGTATCCATCTCGATTCTGGTCCAGGTTGATAGGAAAGGGCTAGCAAAAGGAGAGAGAAAGAGAGAGACAGGCAGAGAGAGAGAGAGAGAGAGAGAGAGAGAGAGAGAGAGAGAGAACTTGAATTGTTTGCTTTCTGCATCTGTCCCTGTCTTTCTTTTGTCTCCATCTCTCTGCCTCTTGAATGTGTGGTTTGGTCCCAGAAGGCAGCCTTTTTGGGGGAACTGCTTTAGCCTGTATTGATTAAACTTAAGATACCTGTCCTATTATACCAGAGATTTGTAGTACATCCAATATAGGTCTGTAGGCTTGACCTCCACCTATCATTTTATCCTCTCTGTTTCTCCTGGAAGTGATATGGAGGGATTATTCCCAGATGGCCCTTGTGGGATTCTGGAGTCCCCAGATGGAGATACCATTCCCAAATGACCTCAGGCTCCACAGGCATTAATTCAGGCTGGGTGTAGAGAAGCTGGCATTGACCACGTGGTCGGGGCCATTTAGTTTCAGCCAGTACTGACCATATGGGAAGAGGGACCCAGCCTCACCAGATGTTCCAAATTTCCAAACGAAGACAGAAATCTGGATATTTTTAAAGCAAAATCCTTCAGCTTTTAAATGTTAAAATGAATTCAAATAAAAAATGTGACTGTGTGGGCCAAATAAAACCTGTCTGTGGGTTGGTGCTGGCTGGTCTGCAAGCTCTGGTCTAGCCAGACACTATGCCTCACTGGCATGCAAGGGGCAAGCGGAGGATGAGGGGACCATGGTAATGTTGAGTCAGAGAAGTGGAAGAGAAGCCCAGGAGAGGTAGTAGTGTCTCCTCCTCCACGGAGCCCTCCTGCCCAGCCCTTCCTGACAGAAGGTGAGAGCAGGCCTCGACTGAGAAATTCAACCTAGACTCGAAGAGCCTTGCTGGCTAACCAGGTACGCGGAGATTCCTGGAGATATCACCAAGTTCTGTATCCTATTTCTAGCACATAGTATGTCCTCACTAAATGGAATGAACTATGATTTGTTTTCCTATAGGCCTCATACACAGTGCAGGGTGTCTGCTATGCTTCAGGCATTGCTTTGTGTCCTGAAGGAAAATGACACAGCCTCCTATGGATGGTAGCTACCCAAGACACGGACTGTGAGTATAGTGTGAAGGTGTAGGAAAAGGGGAATATTTAAGTCAGTGTGCCACAGGGATTTCTACACATCTGTGTTTACTGCAGCACCACATACAGTCGTCAAGTGACAGACTCAACCCGGCTGTCCATCAGCAGATGAAAAAAGAATAAATATAAAGCAAAATATAAAATATAAAAAATAAAGAATAAAAAAGGATAAAGAAAATGTGGTCTGTATGCACAATGGAAATTTATAGAATTGTAAAGAAGAATGAATTATTAATTGTGAAAAATTAGATGGAATTAGAGATCATTGTTTTTATTGAAATAAGCCAGATTTATAAAGGCAAACACTGCATTTTTTGGTCATCCGGGGACCTAGATCATATTTATATATATGTGTGTATATTTATGAATGAAAATATTATGAGACCCATTGCTATGTACAAATAATCAATACTAACAACAAATTCCATAGTCTATTTGAGTGTGTGGTGGAAAGAAATGGTTGCTTCTGGATACAAAAGACACTTGGGAAATGGCTCTTACTGCGTGTGGGTGACCTTCAAGTATAGACTCAAATGACTGACAGCTTGGATCAGACCTCACAGCTGAGCTGCCTGGTGTGAGCCCAGATGATAGAGTGGTTGATTTTATGTGCTAACTTGACTGGGTTGGGGGATACACAGATTGCTGGTACAACCTTATTTATTCACAGTACGTGTGTCTGAGAGAAGTTGTTGGAGATTAGATATTAACCCATCATATTAGATGTAAGATTTGTGTACCCCCAAATCTATTGAGGGTTAGAACAAAATAAGCTCACATTCTTTTCGATACCTATAACATCTTCTTCTGCTATAAGATACTCGAGGTCCTGATATTCTGACATTCAGACTGAAGGTGAAGTCAACCTCTGATGTCCCTGGGTCTTCAGGGAGGACTTCATATTGTGGGACTTCTCACTTGCATAGTTGTTTGAGTTAATTCTCACAATAAATTTCCTTCAATCTATTTTTGTATGTATCCATCCATCCATCCATCCATCCATCCATCCATCCATCCATCCATCTGTATAGTATATCTATCTGTGGTGCTTTGAGTGAGAAATGTCGCTCCCCAGGTTCATGGACTTGAATACTTGGTCCCCAGTTAGTGATGTAGGTGGGTCTCTATCTGTTGTTTCATTAATTAATAAAGAAACTGCTTGGCCTGATAGGTTAGAACATAGGTGGGTGGAGTAAACAGAACAGAATGCTGGGAGGAAGAGGAAGTGACGCCATGCCTCTCCTCTCCAGGGCAGAAGAAATGAAGCAAGCCGCGTATCTCCACCCCCAACATTACAGCTTCTTCCTCTAGAATCCTGAGTGCAAATTTCCCCTTCTGTAACTTGAGTTGGTCATGACATTTTATCACAACTATAAAAGTAACTAATACAGAAGTTGGTATCAGGAATGGACTCTCCTCTCTCTCTCTCTCTCTCTCTCTCTCTCTCTCTCTCTCTCTCTCTCTCTCTCTCTCTCTCTCTCTCTCTCTCTCTCTCTCTCTCTCTCTCTCTCTCCCTCTTTAGTTCTTTGTCTAACTACCTACCTATCTATCTACTATCTATCCATCACTCATCCATCTCATTTGTGCTGTTTCTCTGCAGAACTCCTACCCTTGGATCTGGCAAGTCTACACTTAAGTATTCTTCAGGGAAAATGAAGACATCCATCTACCACAAGAACTATGAAAGAAGCCGGGCGGTGGTTGGGTACAGCTTTAATCCCAGCATTTGGGAGACAGAGGCAAGTAGATCTCTGTGAGTTCTAGGCCAGCCTGGTCTACAAGAGCTAGTTCCCAAAAAAAAAAAAAAACTATGAAAAAGTGTACAAATCAACTATATTTGTAGTAATCCAGGACTGGAAATGGTCAGTATATATATCCACAAAGGATGACATGGAATTTATACCTAACACTATTAAAGGGGCCAAGAATCTGTGGCTAAATGAATTATAGGCCCCAGGGGAGAATCCAATATTTTTCTGTCAAATGGACGTAATATTAAGGGAATGGTTTATGACCATACCTATAGAACAGAGAATCTCTCAACTCCTATCAGAGAAGCTTCTTGCGGTAGACAGGAACAAACACAAAAACCCACAGCTGGTCACTGTGCAGAGAACAAAATGCTATGGATGTTCATATCACACCCTTCCTTCAGAGGCTCAGGGGTCTTTTCAGGGGAGGCAGAAAGATTCATAAGAGCCACATTTGGTGGATAATTTCTAGTAAATAGAGTTCTCCAGACACAACAGGTCAGGTAAACTTATGAATTCATGGTGATTATGACATCATGTGTGAAACCTGTTCGAGCTCCAGCCAGACAAAATCCAGCATAGAGGAGGGAATGTTGCCACTATTAACTGAGGAGCTAATGACATTTTATAGATGCTAGGAGAAGAGAAGTCCATTTTCTTTAATGAGGTAGCCCCTGACAAACTGACCATACACTATGTAACAAGCCGCAATCCAAAGACTAGATGGGCAACACAAGCTCCTCAATCCCAAAGGATGGGCTGAACCATTGACCCCTTTCTAAAGTATACAGATTCAGAAAGGAGAAATGAAAAAAAAAACCTTCAAAGTTGAAAAACGTGACAAATGCGTCCTCAGACAGTGACCAAGGTCAATGTCATCAGTCATTAAAATGGTGACTCCTTGTCTGTAGTTATCTAATGATAAATGTCTCCCATAGTCTTGGGCATTTGAATACTCAGCTTCCAGTTGTGGCACTGTTTGGGGAGGCTTATATATCAGAGAAAATATGTCTGGTAAGCTATGGAAGCATCATGGCCCATCTCCAATTCAAGGTCTTGGGAGGTAGAGACAGGGGATCCCTTGGACTAGGTGACTAACAAAGTCTTCAAAGTCTGCATTCAGTGAGGG